TACTAATGCGAATTCGTTTACCAATTGAATTAGTAACGGTTTTGACTCTTTTTTAGTACACGGAAAGAAATTTTCTGTAGAATTTACAGAAACTCTTGCGCCATCTACTGATGGAAATTGTTGTTTCTCCAAATAGAGAAATTTGTAGAATCATTGGCATTAAAATTTGTTAATTCTACAAGTTTGAGCTACAGTTCTTAAAAACTGTTGAGTGACCAAATTATGTATACTATATGGGGATAATAATATATATTTGGTAGAGTATTTCTTATAGGTTATATTCTCCTCCGAATACATTAAATTCGCGGAACATTATTGTATAAATTAGTATAACTTCTATGTAAATAAATTCATCCTTCAATAATTTTCTAACAAAAAAAAGTGAGGAGCAAGTTTTCAAAACTTATGATAAATCCACTTTTTCTTATGTCGAGAAATTGAAACAAAAGACTTTTCTCACTTAATCACTACAGTTAATTTTAAAATAAAAAATTTGTAATAATTTATTTCTATAATAATGTTTATATACTTAAGACGTTTCCTTTTTAATTAAACTTTCTTGACGACACTATGATAATAATAAAAACACTAAATTCGCCTTAACCTCTCGCACTCAATCGTACTCAGCCTTAGTCGAATCACTGCATTGTTTTCGCGCATGCGTTAAATCCTTACAGAAAATATCTGTAGAATTAACAGATTTAGGAACATGTAAAATCTCCAAATCGATGTTAAAGAATTACCAGAAAATTTTTTTCCATAATTGCTATAGTAGAAAACGATACTAATTCATCGAGTAAATCGGGTTACTAATTTAAAATAGTAAAAATACGAATTAATCCATGAATTAGTAGTTATTAAAAAAGAGTCAAAACTGTTACTAATTCAATTGGTAAACGAATCCGCACTCTTTCATTAGTAGAAAACTACTAATTCAGATTTAGAGAGTAGACGTCTTTTAAAAGTGTGGTATATGGACCGTCTCACAGTACACGACTTAAGCTTTGTAATAACCTAGAAATTAGACATTAATTTTTTCTATTTATTTAAATAATATATGTGTCTTTCTGTCTTATAACTTTGGAAGAGATATGACCATGCTATGTTAATTCGCTAAAGAAAACATTAAATCAATGAAAATAGTATATTTCGATACAAAAATAACCAAACGAGTGTTATTTGCATATTGTGAGTGTAACAACGTGGCGAGAACTCAATACGAGGCAAAGGAAAATATTTTTAAGAAAAATGGTTTTTAGAAAAATGCAATTAAGAATTTAAAATTAGGAAAATCGGTCGGAAACGGTACAAAACGTATTGTACAATGTACGTATACTGATTGTCATTTTAAGAGAAAGTGATTTTGTCTTTAGAAAAATATTACCTTGTGAGAAATAAAAAGGTGCATCGTTTTTTCCTTTGACTACGAAAATTTTTAATTTCATTCGATTCGCTTGAAACTTATTACTCGGTGATTTTTAGGGTCACTGAATCCAAATTTGATGTCAGATTTAAAATTTTTTAAATGTCGGATGCAATATGGCCTGAGAGTAATAAAGTTTCGAGTGAATCCAATAAAATTAAAAATATTTTTAGTTGCCATATATACCCTCATACATTAAAACCAAATAATCGTATCAAGCCTTATCATTTTATAATTATTTATTTTTCTATATAATATTATTTTAAAAGGATTTTTTTATGTATTAAAAGTGTATTTCTTTTTTAATAAAAACAGGACAAGAAAGCGTTTGAACTATTTCATTATTTTATGAAGTAGTTCATAAAGAGCCGCAAGTAGTAAGTATCGTCATATGGGCCGTCATAAGTAGAATAAGTTTTGCGTTGTGAGACATTTTCTAGTAGTAAACGCCGTTCATGAGCGAACACAAACTAAGCGCAGTTTTCTGTTTTTTTTTTTGCAAAATGATAAACAGCCTTTTAAGAAACAAAAGTTATTTAATATTTTAAATTATTCATTTTAAAATTTTTCTGTATTTTTTTATAAATAATATTATATGTACTCGATTTACTTTGACTTGCATAGGTGTACGATAAGATAATGAATAATGATTTTACACGTTCTCTATTTATCTACTTACTAATGTTATCAGAAGCACAGGGGTAATAAAGATAATAAATTTCTGAGGGTCATGTTGTTTTAATGAAAAAAAAAAAATGACAGGTGTGGTATCATTTTAAGGATTAGATAATATAACAGTTTTGTGTTTTTCGATTAAAAAATTTTTATTTAAAATTTTGTAGAATATTTTTTTTTTTTTTTACTTTCTTTTTTATCTTTTTATAAAGATCACCCCACGGTTGAGGCTATTATGGTACAAAATTTGTTTTTTTTTTTTAAATAAAGTAAACATTTTTTTGCTTTAAATTAAGCTGTATAAGGAAACTTTTAACTACATATTGGGGAAATAATTTTTAAAAAGGTGCTGAAAACTAAATATTATAGGAACTTGAAATTCCCCAAAATTTCCTAGGTATCACTAGGTATGTAGCAGACAGACAGATTTACACAAAACATAATGTTATCCTTCAAGAAAAAAGAAATTCTGAAATGGACACATCTCTAAATTAGAAATTGTGAGCAAATGGCGTTTTTTAATATAAAGTTTTACAAATTATTGCAACATTTCTGATTATAATGTCCAATTTAGACGAATAGTAATTTATTTACTTTATTTTTATTCATAAAATAAAGAAAAGTTATTGTGTAATTGAACAGAATTTCTATTTATAATGTTAAAACTTTTATAAAACTGTATTTTCATTAAAGAAAATAAATTTTATTTAGCAGAATTTACGTTATTTAAAAAAAATTTATATATCTAAATTTTTATAAAACAAAATTTTCATTTTACAGAATTTTGGTTTAACAGAATTATATAATGTATAGTGTAGAAACGGTTTGCCGTCGGAACTCCGAAGTTCTCAAGAAATCGCTCTACGCAGCTATATGTATATCTTTTAGATCAACTATATTTTAACATTATTTAAATATATATTGAAATTTTATTTTCGATGTAAATTTTTGTTGTACTTGTAAAATTTTAGTTAGAATGTTAAAATATTTTTTATTGAAATTTTAAGTTAAGTATAAACTTATTTTTTTTTATTAATTCAGTTAAATTTTTCGTAAAAGTAAATTTTTCCCAGGAAGAAACAACCGAAAAACTGAAACTAATAACCGAAAAAACCGAAATTTTTGAGAAACTAAAACCGACATATTTTCTTACATTAAAAATCGAAACCCGAATCCGCATTACACTGAAAAAAAGGTTTGGTATTAACTACCAAACATTTAGTTGGTATTTAAGAAACCAAAATTTTTTTGTTGAATCAACAAAATTTTGGTTGTCCCAATCAAACTTTAGTTAGGACAACAAAAATCCTTTTTTTCTAATTTTGGTTGCTTAAATACCACTCTCTAAATTTGAATTAGTAAAAAGTGAGCTACTAATTTAAATATTAGTAAGAATTTTAACTAATTATTAGTCACTTTTTACTAAAACTTTAGTAAAAAAATTTAAAACTACTAATTCAAATAGTAATATTTTACTAAAAATTAGTAAAAATTCTTAGTAATGTGAATTAGTAGCTCACTTTTCACTAATTCAAATTTAGAGAGAAACCAAACGTTTGTTTGTCAATACCAAACCCTTTTTTCAGTGTATCTTTTAAAAAAAACTGAAATCGAAATACCGAAACCGAAATTTTTTGAGAAGAATACACAAAAGTATAGAAACCGAAACTGAAAAAATTTCAATTAGGTACACTTTAAAAAAATAATAAAATCTAAATTTTTTTTTTTCAAAACAAAATATAATATTCGTAAATTAAACACTTGTATAAAATGATTCTCTTTAATTTTCAATAAAATTTTCAAATTTCACTTAAATTCTTTTGAAATTTACAAAAAGTAATCTTTAAAATTTAGTTAATTTACATTTTTTTTTCAAACTCTGGGTAGACCCCAACCACAGCCCTATTTTAATGAGGGAAAAGTATAAAAATTTCTCCAGAAAATAGGGGTTTGTTTATCTGAGAAACATGTTTAGTCAGAGCAACCCAAATTTATTTGTGCCAACAACAAAATTTTTTTTGGTATTTCAGCAACCAAACTATTTGTTTAAGACAATCAAAAAATTTGGTTGAGTGTTTTTTGTTGGCATAATAAAAATGTTTGGTTAGTTGAACCACATTTTTTTTTTGTTAGGTCAACAAAAATGTTTGGTTGATCAAACAAACTGTTTTTTTTTGTAAAATTAAAAATTTTATTCTACCTTATTTCTTTTCATTTTATCTTTTTTATTTATTTTATTATTTATTTATTATCAATTTATCATTTAATTTATATTTATTCAATTGAAATATTTGTCGACTTTAAAAAATCTCATCTCCGCCTGGGATCGAACCTCTGTTTTTAAACTGCGAGTTGGGTGCTCTGACCACTGTACTACCCATATTTGTGAGAGATTTAAACTAATTTTTCTCTTAAGGTACGAGCTGAGAGCAAATTAAATTATTTGGTTGTTGTAACCAAATTTTGGTTAGGACAACAAACGATCATTTGGTTGTTTTTTAGACCAAACTATTTTGCTGTATTACTCAAATTATTTTGTTGTCGTTACCAAAATTTGGTTGAAATTTAAAAATGTTGAACCAAATAATTTTTTTGGACTAACCAAATGTTTGGTTGAGACAACTATATACGACTTTATTTCAGCCAACCAAAATTTCCTTACAAGAACCAAAATTGCATAACCAAACGATTTTTTTGCAAACACAAAGTCTTTTTTTTTAGCGTTGGTTTCATTATTATTTTAAAAAAAAGAAATATTTTTTATTTTATTTTTTATCTTATAACTAGAACATAACTTTAAAAGTAAGGAATATAAAAACAAATAAACAAACAAAAGTGATTAATTTGTTGTTTTATCTATACACTTCAAATAATTACAACTGGTATAGATATGCTATAAAAACATGTTGTTAGCTGCTACAAAATATATTTAGTTTCAAAATTAAAATTAAACTTTACGAAAATGTTAAAAGTACTTTTTACACTTTTTGCGTTAATTGTTGTTTCAAATGTAAGTTTTATAGATAGTACTGCAAAAAAAAAAAAAAATAATTTATTTTTGATTTTTAAAAATTTGATAAATTCAAAAAAAGAATAAAAACATATCAAAATAAATTACTTTCATTATTTTAGGCTGGTTTACAACGAAAAATCTCTTTTACTTCAGGACATTTATTTCAAGGAAGAAATGTCAATGGTGTAATGGTAAAAAACAATAATTGCGAACAAGAAATTATATGGGAAAAAAATCAAGATAATTTAAAAGTGAGTTAAGAAGGAAAATTTTGTTTTTATAATTTATTGCTAGAAAATAAATAATACTTTATCAAATAAGTAAACATAAATAAAAAAAAGTAACTTATATTACTTTTTATTATTACAATAAATAAAATAATACATTCGCACAGACTAAAAAATTAAATATTCAAAAATGTATGTATTTTTTTAGGCCTATTTCTCAAAGATTTTCGAAGCAACCGGAAAAGTGGAAACATTGGAATTTGAAGATTTATGTGCTAAAACAAGAAAGTGGTCTTTAAAAGAGTCTGTTCAGAATTTTACTCTAAATACACTTGGAAAAGCTAAGAAATGTCCAATAAGGAAGGTTATAAATAAAAATAATTTTTTAAACATTAAAATTTACAATTATGTCAATATTTTTTTTACCTTTTTTCGAACTTAGAATCATATGTTCCATTATGAAAAATTGTAAAAAAAAAAATAATAATTTTTGACTAAAAGCTGAAAAAAACAAAAAGTATACAAAAAATTATGTAACAAAAGAGTTTTTATAATTTTTTCTCGAAAAGTGTATAAATATCTTCTAAAATTTTTTGAAATTAATTTTTATTAAAGTTTTGTTGTTTATACTTTAAAAAACATTTATCAATTTTAAGGTTATGTTAGGTTTTTAAAAGAAATTATAAATACGAAGAAAAAATTTTTTTTTTCTCATTTGCAGGGCACAGTCAAAATTAGGTATCCAATTAATTTCTCATATGAAGAAGAAGAAAATGATAAGCATTGTGGACCATTTCTTGGATTGGTACATATTGTTAAAAAGAAGCAAGAAAATTCTAAAATGACTCCTTTACTTGTTACATATTTGTATAGAGGAATTATAACCGGTGATGAGTGTTAAAATCATATATACATATAATATTAATTATAATTTCACGTTAAATTTATTTCTTTTAAATTCGGTTAAATATATTTTTTTCGTTTTTTTTTTACAGAAACAGGGCACTTTTGATAATAGTAAATATTTTTAAAAAATTTTTTTAATTTAGTTTTTTTTACACTAATTACATTAGTTATAACTTAAAAAAAAATTAATCAATAAGTATTTGAGCTTAAAAAAATTTTTTACGTCCTGTGCGAGATATTGTGGAATTTAGCTTTCCCACTCTAACTGAGCGTTTTAATTTTAATTTCAAATATTAAATTATATGATCTTGAAAGTAAATAATTATTTTTAAATAATTTGTAAATATTATAACAGCAGTAGTTTGCAAAACTGTAATTAATTCACCAAAGTTAAAATATAATTAATGTTAAACTTAATCTTAAAATTAATAATATGATTAATTATACATGACTTAAAATAAACTAAAAGTAAATTAAAAACTAAAGACGAACGTCTAAACAACTTCGTCCACTTGTGTTTTTCGTATAAACTGACAATCAGTAGTGGACGAATTGTATTATTATGTATGTGCTTTAAAAAATTTTAATTCTTATATAAATTAAAAATATTTTAGTTATTTATCTCACTAATACCAAAAATTGCTTTCTTTAAATGTAATTATTATTTTCTGCATTCGTATTTAAATACAAGTAAAATATTTTAACAAAAAAAACATAAGGGCCCAACATTTGCGTTATACGTACCTGAGTTCAGAAACAGGAACCGGAGTTTACAAACCAAAGAAAATTTTTTATTATAAACAAAATACCCAATGAAATAAACTGTCCTCTGGTATTTATATACAGGTTTGCTAACTCTAACTAACTACTGGGTTGATTTTATCCGAAGTTTTAAAAAACCTTTATTTTAAGTGGAACCGGAGTTTACATGTAATAAAAATACGCAATATAAAGACGATTATTATTATAGTTTTAAGTTCAAAAATCACATTTTTTCACATGATTCAAGCATCAACATAATTTTTTAACTTGATTACACAAGGAATCGGTAAAAATAAGTTATAAGGTTGAGTAAAATCACAATTATGTAAACTCCGGTTCCACAAAAATAAAATCGGGGAAAAGATTTAAAATCGATTTTTGTTAATACAATTTATGAGAATCGAAATAAGATACACAGTAATTATACCTTTTGAGTTAAACTTTCGACTAGTACATTTCAAAAAAAATTTAATATACGTAAAAAAAATTCCTAATCTTGACAAGTCCCATGTGGAGAACTGCAAAAAGTGCATTTTTCGAGGTAATTTTGAATTTTTTAAAGGTTTATAAAAGCAAAAAATGTTTCTTTTGCTTTTGCTATTGATAAATATAAACACGAAGAATATCTGTAAAAAATTTCACAATCTTTTAAATAATACTTTTTTAGTTATTAAGTGTGGAACGAAAAGTGCCACGTTCCTGGAGAATCACCTATATAAAAAATTAAATTTAATTAAACACAAAACTTTTTAGCTAAAATGTGAATTTTTGATTTTTCAACTTTCATTAATTGCTTTAAATTTAAATCAAATGTATATACTTTATATATATACCAATCGATTTTTCTTGATGTAAGAAATATGATTTTATTACATACACTGAAAAAAATAGTATTAAATCAAGAAAACCTATTATATGTACTTGACCGTATTTTATACCAATATTTTTTTGATCCAAGAAATTTTTATTAGTTTAAAGTAAATTTTCTTGGATCAAGAAAATAGTGGTATAAAATACGGTCAAGTACATATAGGTTTTCTTGCTTCAATAATAGTTTTTTTTCAGTGTATCACCTTAAATTTTGCTATTAAAAACTTTTTGATTATAAACAAAATTTTGGAAAAAAGACAATAAAATTTTTTTTTTTTTTAAATCTTTGTGTCTATTTTGAGATATTAATATGATAAATATAAGCCTACCAAATTTTACCCAAATCCATTAAAACCTGTTAAAGTTATATCGTGTTCACAAAAAAGGGATCCACAAACACATACATCCAGACCATTTTTAAAAATTTTATAATTTCTCCCCTTCACGAGGAAGCAAAAAATTTATTTGATTCAAATAATCGGTTACTTGACTATTATCAAGAAAATATTTATTTGTATCAAATAATAATTATTATTAGAGTCAAGTAAATGCGGTATTTGTCGAAAATACAGAAATTATTGGTTCAAATACACAGTTTATGTAATTCAATTATTTAATTTCCAAAATTATTTTCTTCCATTGAATATTTATTTTATAATAGTCAAGTAATCGATTATTTGAATCAAATAAATAATTTATTCAATCTATCATTCCTAATTTTAAGTACTCTCTAAATCTGAATTATAGTAGTTTTCTACTAATAAAAGAGTGCGTATTCGTTTACCAATTGAATTAGTAACAGTTTTGACTAATTTTTAGTAAAAAAACTACTAATTGCTAGTAGAAAACTATTAATTCATGGAGTAAATCGGCTTACTAATTTGAAATAGTAAAAAATACGACTTACTAATGAATTAGTATTTATTTTTTTTACTAAAAATTAGTCAAAACTGTTACTAATTCAATTGGTAAACTAATACGCATTCATTATTAGTAGAAAACTACTAATTCAGATTCAGATATTACGAAATTTTTTTTATAAAAATATAATTACCAATCCAAAAATTATAAGAACACGGATTATCTTACAGTGTCTATATAATGTTTAATAAAACTAATAAAAATGTAAAAACGCTAATGGCATCGCGTGTGATGAATTCTTCAAATAAATAAATATTAAAAAAAAAATAGAGAAAAAAAACATACTTACCATATTCAATTTTGAAAGAGTAAAAACACGGAAAAATCATTATGAAAATATTGATTAAAAAATCTTTATGATAATAAGAATCACTATGGCAACAGAAGGAAGGTGTCGCCTTTGAAGTGCTCATAGCGACGAGACTTCCAGTCTTTTCGTCTCTTGGTAGAGTATTGATTTTACAGGGGCGGGATCGTAGTTGAGTACCGCTGAGGTCATCCCCGCCATAGTAAAAGTTCAGGGCGGTTCCTCCAACAACCAATCAGATTTGACCCTTTGTACCAAAAAGGGGTGCTTTTTGGAAAAGCCCGCCCCTGTCACCCTTATCCAAAGGCAACAGCCTGCCGTCAAGGGGGATGAGTTTTAGTACCAACCCTCATCCCCTTTTTCACCCCCTCCTCCCACCCATGGGGTGGATATGGCAACATACGCTTAGTGTCATTTCATCAAAGCAGTATACGTTCATGCTTGACGTTTAGCAGATCTCTATATATATATATTAAAAAAAAAAAAAATTCCCCATACATGCATATATATATACATACATACATTATTTTACATTTGCTAATAGACCTGCAATTGATTTATCAAAAAAAAAAAAAAAATTTAACATTATTTACTATTTGTTTTTATATTTGCTGATTAATTTATCAGCAAAATTTGGAGATTCATTTTGGTTCTTTGCTGTTGGGGTAAAAAAAAATGGCGGATGGATTCTTCAATAATAATTGAGCCAGGATGTTTGTTCAGTGTACAATTGGAATTTATTGTGATAAAGTGAAATTTGTTGGAAAGTGTTGTTAATATTGTTATTAAATTAATTTTTCTTCTTTTTTTTAATCAAACAAAAATTTGTTGAGAATTATATTGGAAAATTTATTTCGATAAAGTGGAGGTTTCAATATTTGAAGAATATTGTCAAAGGATCGGCAGAATGTTAGAACATTTGAGAGGACAAACTACGTGGAATCAAGGAGATTCTAATCAAAATATACCCCCGGGGCCTCCACTTCAATTTCGACAAGTTGCGAACAATAATGTTGAAGGTGATTTTACTAATAATTTTAGATATTTCAAATATGATATTATTTATAGCGAAAAAGTACTATTCTAAATTTAAGAATATTTTGCAAAAGCTAATATATGTTATGGATAGAAATAATATATTATTGTAAAAATTTAATATACTAAATTTAAGAATAAATTTCCTTTTAAAAATTTTAAATAAAAGCTTATAGGATGTATTCTTAATTTTAGAATAAATTTTTTTGATATAAATTTACAATATTTTAAACTCTGATTTTTATATTAACAAAATGGCTAGTAATTGATATATGGGTGATTCTCCACGAAGCGTACAATTCCGCATATCCCTTGTGTTTTTTAAGAAATCAATTGTATATATTGTAATGAATCCAACGTAAAAAAGTAACTTTAGTGTTTACAAACAAAAGCCTATAGCCACTTTACTTTATAAAATTAAATATTATTTTTAAAATGCGAATTAAAGAGCCAAACCGCCTGTCCCCAGTGTCTGCTCTTTTAATTTGAATCAGTGAAATTTCACTGGTGAAATAGCTAGAAGTCGGTTACTGAATCATTTAGTGAAATTTTCACTGAAAATCAGTCATATATCACTGATTTCCAGTGAAAATTTTACTAAATGAATCAGTCAATCTGTTTTACCCATTACCGATAATACAGATTGACTGATTCATTTAGTGAAATTTTCACTGGAAATCAGTGATATATGACTGATTTTCAGTGAAAATTTCACTAAATGATTCAGTAACCGACTTCTAGCTATTTCACCAGTGAAATTTCACTGATTCAAATTAAGAGAGTGATTTACGAAACAAAAATAAAAATTTTAATAAATTAATTTAATTTGAAACAATAATAATAAATTATTATTGCTAACATTTTTTTATTGTTCAAGTTTGTAGAATTCAGAAAAAAAATTGATTGTTAAAAAAATTTATTTTTTAAAATCTTTTTTTCGATGTTAATTCTTGTCCCCAGTTTTGTGCGCATCATGGGGAAGCTTTTTTAAAAAATTGAAATATTTCATAAAAATCAAATCAGAATTTAGTTATACATTAGCATAAGCAGCAATAGAGTTCTCTCATACGATTGTACAATAGAAACTAATATTATGATTGATTTTTTTGTTTTTACACCTTTAAATAGCGCCAATTTTATACATATAGGGAATCACAGAATCGTCATTGGGAAGCGTTCACATATTTTACAATAAATCAAAAAAATTATTTTTTTTTTATTAAATAATGTGTAGTAGTATTATTTCAATGAATATAAATGACAGAAATGCGAAACCAATTGAAAATTGCTAATAACTTTTTTAAAAAAAACATTACTAATTGTGCGTCATGGGGGAAGCCTCAGCATTATGAGGAAGCCTTTTTTGGCCGTCTTTCATTAAATGTGATCTTTAAAAATTACGATAAAATTTTTTTACAATTATTCACAACATTACAACATATATTTCCATTAAATTTTCATAAATTACCAAATAAATTTCCATAAATTACCCTATAAATTTCCAATTTTTTTTTAAATTTTCTTTTATATATTATAAATTACCTTATAAATTTCCAAAATTAGTTTTTAAATTTTTCTTTTATATATTAAAAATAACCTTAAAAATTTCATAAATTACCATAAATTACCAAATAAATTTTCTGCACGGAAAAAAAAGAATTGTTGTGGTTACTAAAAATTAAATCCACACAATTCCGGATTGTCAATATAGAACCAGCAGTTCTATTTGTTGTTGGGACAAAAAAAAATTGTTAAAATGGGATTGTTCGGTGAACAAAGAAAATTGTTATGGAACAGTTGAAATAACAAAACTAAATTGTTAAATCGGCAATACAATTTGTTGTATTAACAAAGCTTTGATCTGTCTAATACAATTTGTTCAGTTTCTTCGCCTTCTAAAATATTCGATAGCAAATTTCCGTAGGTCATATCATCAGTTTTATTTGCATTAAAATCTGTGAAACATATGCAGCTTCTGAATCAAATTCTTTGGTCTGAAACCAAAAAATTATTTTGAGTTGAAATTTGTTGTTAAATAATATTTAATATACATATTGTATTTTTTAAGGTGAGGTTATGTTCAATAGTAACCATGTATAACTTACCGATTAACGATGAAATTGTATCTTCATCAATTCATCACACTTGCAATAGATTTCTCACTTTAACCGGATTCATTATTTAACAGCACTTTGTCATTCAAAAAGAAAACTAATAATAAAAGCAAAAGTGGCACATGTGCCAGAAGCAAACGACGAGACGATCTGCACGCCATTTTCGAAAATTTAAGATGACCACGTGACATGGAACAATAAACCTATCAGCTGAACAAATCCGGATTGTTCCATCAGCAATCGACAGAGAGTTTGCTTCTGAAACTGTATGGAATTGCAAACTGAACAAAGCTGACAACAAAAAATTCGTATTGTTTTTAAAACAACATACATTTGTATTGACAACATTCCGAATTGTAATATTAACATTTTGAATTGTAATATCAACAAATCTACTGACAACAATCCAAAAATTGTTTACACAACAATCCCATTTTTCCCCGTGTACCAAAATAGCTCATTACACTGTTAGAAATGTGAATTCGAATTACTCCAAAAAGTTTGAATGAATATACGTTGCAACTACAGAAGTGCAACTTCTGTTTGAGTCACACTATAAAAGATGCAAGTATGGTGTAAAGTGTGTTGCGACTATAAGTGTGATGACTAAAGTGCAATTCTTGAAATATCTATTCTTTTAACACTGTCTCTAGCGTAATAATTAGGCTGATATGCCGTTTGGAGAAAAAGAGGAACAAGTTATTAACAAGTTCTGCATACCTATACTCTAGAATGATTTCAGCAGAAGGTGCTGTTTTACATTTAAAAAGACTGCATATTTTCTTAAAAAACGGAATGATTTTGTAATTGTTTACAAATTGTTTAAATATACCAATCTGAATTTTTTATAACCCTAAAATATTTAAGACAATATCCAATTAATAAATTTATTGCAAAATTATCTCGTTTTCTAAAAAGATGTCTAATCAGACTCAGTTTAATATTATTTATTTATTTTGAATTAATTATTTTTATTTATTACTAATTTATTAATTATTTATTTAGTTCAGTATTTTAATTAATACATAAAGCTTAATACAAAAATAATTTTAAATACTTAACCTACATTTAAAATTAAAATAATTTAATTTTAATTTCAAACCAAATTTTCTGAAACAATTTAAAAAATATTTTGTAACGTTTGAATCTTATTTAAACGCAGATTAAAAAATTTAATAGAAAATTCAGACCAAATTTTTAAACATTTTTCAGGATTGCCTAGTTCAAATAGTTTAATAATTTTTTTAAATTGTTTTTTTTTTAAATTGTAAAAATTGATATACAGTCAGACAAAAAATATGTTTGAATTCATTATAATATTTTTTATTAAAACATATTATGTTTAATTTAAACATATTTTTTTCGTTCACCATATATTTAGATAAAACTTTTTTCTCAGTGCTTAGAGAAAATATAAATTAAATATAGTTTTTATACATTAAATATAATAATATTCTGATAGGTAGAGAATAGAATAAAATTATTTGCTTACATTTTTGTATTTAATATTATATGTAAAAAGTAAAGAAATATATTTTTTCAAACATTTACAAAAACAAAACTCTTATACTCAAATTTTATAGAGTATGAAGCTACAACGTGAGTTAAACATAAATTTATTAAAGGCTTTTACTTAAATTACATATAAATCGTAAACCTACATACTTTTCATAAAATTCAACACTTTTTCAATGTTGAATAACACAAAACTCATACTAGAATTTAGTAGAATTATGCACTTTAAAGTGTGTCGCTACAACGTGAGTAAAACTTACATTATTTAAAATCATTTTACTTAACTTAAAACTCTTTAACCGACATACATTTTATAAAATTTAACATTTTTTCAATGTTTAATATAATGCAACTCTTATAATATAATTTGGTAGAATTATATTCTCTAAAATGATATAAGTCTGTCGTAAGATGTTAAAACGTGAGTTAAACTTAAATTATTTAAAGTCTTTTTACTTAGATCACATTTTTTGTAACAATTCCATTATGGCACTTTTAATAGAGAAACATAGAAATAATATAGTCTACGACAAAGTAACCGGTAGCCATCATCATCACATCGCAACTAGATAAAATGCACAACGCATGCGTGTAACGAGGTGGGAGATCTAAAAACACTTATTAGTGCGATTGAAAACACTTTTGAACTTTCATAGATGTCAAGCTTGGTTAGGAACAAACTTGTTACACCGCTTTGATGTGAAAGATCTATTTTCTTAAACTTCACACTTTATATGATGCAGAACAAGTAAACGTACGCATTTTCGCAGTAAATATTAACACCGATCGCTTACAACTTCACACTCGGTGTAAAGTTGTAATCTTATTTATATCATATATTTCTAACAGTGGGATATTACATAGAAGCATTTACATCTAATTAGTTTGAAATATACCAAAATTATAAACAATTTGTCCGGCCCATTACAGATATTTCATTCTTGACTATCATTATACTTGAAAGTTATGTTATGATTTTAATTTTAATTGGAAAAAAAATTCTATAATAATAGAAACCAAATTGTACACTGATGAGAAAAATATGCTATTAAATCAATAGCATTTCTGCCAAAGGTATAACAATTATTGATTTAAAAGCATATGCTATTGAATCTATAAAATATATTACAAATTTTATAGCATATGCTTTAGAATCAGTATAATTTTTATACCTTTGGCAGAAATGCTGTTGATTCAATAGCATATTTTTCTCAGTGTACCTACGCTACGCAGAGAATCACTCAAATATGCATATTTATTAAAATAGTTACCAAAAATAGGTATAAATTTAGATATTTCTATTTTCTCTATCAATAAATTTTAAAATTGAAAAGAAATTAAAATTTTTTTTTACAGGAACAACAGTATCAGTGAAGACAGAAGTGGGAACAGGAGAACCAACATGTGCGGGTTGTGGTCTCGTGATTGTCGATCGATTTTTGATGAGTGTAAGAGATGAAATGAGTATTGACAGAAGTTATCACGAGGACTGCCTTTCTTGTTTTCATTGTGGTACAATTTTAACAAAATCATGCTTTATTCGAAATTTAAAACTCTACTGCCGTTCTGATTATGAACAATTATTTGGTGTCAAGTGCGCGAGGTGTAGTATTATTATTGGTGGCAAAGACCTTGTGATGAGGGTGGCAGATTTAGTATTTCATCTTAATTGTTTTGGATGTTACATGTGTGGGCAACCCCTACCCACGGGAGCACATTTTATTCTTCGTCAAAATCAACCTGTTTGCAGAAGAGACTTTGAACATGAAATGTACATCAATAGTCCACAAGGTGTGTAATTCTTATATATATAAATAATAATAATAATAATTTTTCAAAACTATATTATTCTCATGAATAATAATTATAATAACAATAATAATAATGTTTTACTATAATTTCAAACAAATTGTGGATGCTTCTTTTGTATTCTGAAATAGTGATGAAATTTTCTTCACTTCATTCAATACTTGAATTTTAACTATTAGAGGAATTTAAATCACTTTTAGTGATAATGACCGCCGTTATAGATAAATTAGTAAAATTTATTTTTGAAAAAAAATTTGTTTGACGAAAAAAATTAAAATAAAATATAAATTTTGGCCTTTTTTTTTTTTAGAGAAAAACAGTTTTCTTAACGAAAGCTGAGTTTTTTTTTCTTATAAGGATATAGGTAAACCGTTAAATTTTAATAATTCTAAATATTTTTGGCTATAATTTTGTGGAGATATACTTAGAATAACAAATACCATCGATGTAGGGTGAAGGATTTTTGCAATTTTATCGAAGAAGGTGTTTTTTTTAATAAATCATGAGTGATAAATGTCTGAATAGTTTTTTTTTTAAATTATAGGATTAAATTTAAGCAGATATAAAGAAAGTAATATAAATAAATTATTTTTTAATTATTAGATAAAAAAAAAGATCAAAAAATTTAGCTTAATTTCTATTTCTCAATCATGATTTTCAAGAAAAATCTAATTTTTTAGATATAAAAATCAAAAAAAAAATTAGGTTAAATTTTATTCAACAATTACAATTTATTTTTAAAAAAAATTTTTTGCATAATTTTTATTTCACATTCACAATTATTTAATAACATTTTTTTGTTATTGATAACATGTTCTAGAAAAAACTAATAGTCCCTATTTATAAGTAATATAATAACTTTGTGCTTCCTGCGTGCTGCTGCCATCTGACGGCGTCTGAAAGTAATGAACCTCCTACAAACTGTCATTATATTACTTTCCTATTTCCCATTTTGTAATCGATAATTAGTAATTACTAAAACCCTGCACCCAACATCGATGGTATATGTTATATATATTTTATTCTTATATTATATTATATTATATATATATTTTATTTTTTTTTCATCAATAATTATTTTTATTTTCGCATACAAAAATGTTCGAAAATTCTTAGGGTAATTTGAATTTTGGTGTGTTCGTTTAATTTTGTGTAAATATATAAAATTTAAATAAATGTACCCTATTTTGACTCATTCTCTCATCTACAATATTACAATGAGAAAAATGAAAAAATTTGGTCTTTGAAGGTATAGTTGTTTCAAATTATAAAAAAATTTTCTTATAAAAGTTTTTTATTCCAAAAGATTGCCATTCTTTTATAAAAAAAATATATTTAATAAAAAAATTAGCCTGTCCAAAAAGCAATAGAGACCGTTCTAATTTTAAAAAATTAGAATAATATAAATAAAACGAAATTTCTTTTTTAAATTGTAAAATATTGGTTTTTATTACTGTTGATAAAATGGAAAAAAAGAAAAAAAAATGAAAGAAAAAATAATCAAGGTGCGTGAATTACCGGGGAGGGGCGTTAAAGACAGGTCATCTTATTCATACCCATTAAGGGTGGCCCTTTGACTTTGATGACGACAATAGTGCAATATATTGCATAGATAAAAAAAAATTAAATTTTTTCACTTATAATATTTGTATATAAAACAAAAATTTCTTTTTTTTTTAAATAAACAAATTAATTTAAAAAAAAATATATATTTTTGCAAAAAAAACTCTCTTTTTTAAATCAAGGTTTTCACAATTTATAAAATTGTAATAAGCACGCTTATATACAAACATTGATAATTAATAGAAAAGAAAAAAAGAAAAATTATTTTTGAAATGTTTATTTTTACAATTTATAACACAAATGGCCCCAAGTATAAAAAAAAAATGATGATACGGTGACCTGTCTTTTGTCTCAGATCGTTAATTGACGAGCCTTGATGACCGATGACATCATTTCGAGAGCAAGCCAGAGATCAGCCTTCTTATGAAAGTCATCGGATGATACGAAAAATGATGCTTCTCTTGTTCCGTGAGTAACTTTAAATTCGAACAAGAACTTTTCAAAATAATTTTTTTTATTATTTTTATAGGAATCATGATAATTTTAATTTTAGAAAATTTTTATAAAAAGTTTTGTTGAAAAAATAGTTTAATAATAATAAAAAAAAAAGAAAATGATCTGATATAATGTAGGTAATAATAATTATAATAAAATTTGTATAATATTCAATAGATGTATTTAATATTGTTTATAGTGAGAAATTGAAATTTTTCTCTTTTAATACAGATGACGAAGGATTGGATGAAGTGAGACCACGAGATGGAAGACGAGGACCTAAAAGACCAAGAACGATATTGACGTCGATGCAGAGACGTCAGTTCAAAGCATCCTTCGAAGTTTCTCCCAAACCATGCAGAAAAGTTAGAGAAGCTCTAGCAAAAGATACTGGACTCAGTGTTCGAGTTGTTCAAGTTTGGTTTCAAAATCAACGTGCCAAAATGAAGAAACTTCAAAGAAAAGCAAAAACTGAATCTGGCTCCGATAAAGAGCCAAAAGAGGAACGAAAAACCGAAAGTCCACACAGTGATCATAGTGAGTTTTTATTATTTCAATTTTTTTTCCAAATTATTATTATTTTCTATTTTCAAAAACATATTTTTTAAAATAGTACATTGTTATGGTTTATGTTATCAATTATGATAAATGCTTATACTAACTTCCAAAAAAAATTCAAACTTCAAATTATGTAAAAACCTATTTATTTACACATGAGTGATTTTAAATGAAAAAAATATTATCTAAAAAATTTTCTAATATACACGGAGAGAAAAATCTGCCTTTTATAGTATAGAAAGGTTTACATTTAATGCACAGAAATTTTCTATGCTATATAGACATGAAATTTGAGTAATTATAGTACAATCGTATGTCTTTTTAGCATGAAACTTGTCTATGCTAATAAAGTTTGTCATATAGCCTCTTATTACATACTTATTATACTTTTAATCCAACGGCGCCATGCGAAGATCGCACATAACATCATCCTACTATGTTTGCATAAGTTCTATGCTTTTTCGGGGATAGACTCTTGCAACTGGCGATTAGGCCACGCCCACCTTTACTTAATTGGAACTGCCCTAATCGCCAGTTGCAAGAGTCTATCCCCGAAAAAGCATAGAACTTATGCAAACATAGTAGGATGATGTTATGTGCGATCTTCGCATGGCGTTGTTGCTATTAAACTACATGTTTCGTACTATAGAAGCATATATACTATGCTTTTTTAGTACGGACAAATACTATCCTAAAAATTCTCAAATCTTTGCTCTATTAGTATGAAAAGTTTAAAGAAAAATAGCAGCAATCTATTTCATACTATAAAAGGCAGATTTTTCTCTCCGTGTAGATAAGATTATTTATTTTTAATAATCTTTTAATTTAATTTATTTTTTTAATTATTTATAATGAGCATTTGAATACGACAATATTTGTCTGCAGATAAATAAAAATACACTAACTTTTATACGATGCTGAAGTACGCAACGTTTATAATCAATGATTAGAAATCAATTTTTATTTAACACAGAAAATTATAAAATTGTTTACCTAAAAAAATATTTTTTATAATTTAATGTTTAATAAAATCACGAAGTAGTATAAGGAGTCCCCACTGCTATAATTAAGCCCACGAAAAGTTGAAGCTGATTTCCCCGTTTCTCTTACAATTAACGGAGGTATCGAACCTATCGGAAAAGTTGGGAACTAGTTAACCACACTGACACAAAATGTGTACATACAGTTACTAACACATAGAACATTCGCAAAATGGCTACCGTGACATAACCTGCATAAACTGATTGTTTTTATATCGCTTTGTTTTTTTCCTGTTTTTGTAAATAATTTAAAGAAAAATAAGGAAATATGATTAGTTGTTCTATTAAAAGTTGCAAAGTGTTAAAGGCAATACAAAATATAAATCTATTTACAAAACTATTTTTAATGAAATACAAATAATAATGATGAGTTTCATTTTAAATATAAATCTTTTATTAAAGTATATTTTTATCTCAACCATAGAGCAATTCTATGGGATGTGATCACAAGAATTTTTGATGATTGGAGCAATTTTATTGAAACCTTTTGTATATGTTACCTTTATTTGTACTTGCAAATATCTCGAAAAGTACGAATTTTCGTAAAAAATGTTCAAAACAAAAGTTGTTCCAAACAAAAAGATCTACATATTTGAGACAAAAAAATTGGTCCGGGGCCCAATGTTGGGCCATACAATGAAAAAAGTGGTTTTCTTAAATAAGACCACTAATTTTCAGTATCAAATTCGTAATCCCTATGAAATTCTGAGTTCAAACATGTTGTATAAGTGCCCAAAAGTACCCCAAAAAAATCTTATCTTTGGGGTTTTTGGGGTCACAGAATTAGAAATTCGAAGCTAATTTTCAAATTGGGCACAGAGAGCCCAATGTAAGATTCCACAGCCCAATGTGAGGCCCACAGTAATGAAATTAGTTTTCTTAAATAAAACCCACTAATTTCCAGTATCCATTTCGTAATCGTTATGGAATTCTGGGTTAAGACTTGTAGTACAAATGCCAAAAATATTGGGCCAAATGTCTGGGATTGGTCCCAATACTTTTGGATTTTATGCCACAAGTCTAAGCCCAGAATTTCATAACGATTACGAAATGGAAGGAAACTAATTTTTTTACTGTGGGTCTCAAATTAGGCACCCAAAGATAAGATTTTTTAAATTTTATTTATTTGTTTGTCAAAAAATGTTGGGCCCAATCCCAGACATTGGGACTAATATTTTGAGGTTATTTTTTAATTTTTACGACCCCAAAAAAAAATTTTAACCCCTTCGCAGTCGAGGTCAAAATCTCATAAGTGAGCTCAAAATGCGAAGGGGTTAATAACTTCTTGTTACGATTGGTTAATTTTTAAATTCATGCCGTAATCTTTCTTTCAATTGTTTGTTGGCCATTTGCAATTTCGGACAAATGGAAATTCACTCTTTTAAAAATTCTATACCAAAATTAAAGATTGTGCAAATAAAATTTGGACAAATAAAAATTCTCTGAATTGGGAATTATGTCATTTGAAAATTCAGATCACTTCAAATTCTTCTAAATTATATTCTAATAAAATTCTTTAATATGAAAATTCTTGTTAGAACAGTATTTAAATTTACCCAAAATATATAGGTATATTAAAAAAAAAATGAATGAAAATAAAGACGAGTGTTGAATAAAATGTAATTTTTTTTAAATTGAGGAAAATTGTACATTTTTTTTTTACGATTTTAGTCTGGCGTTTGAGGATCCTCGGGAGGGCATTCACATTATATATATATATAGGGAGGGGATGCTGGGATTTCTAGCCAACTATATATCCCCAAGCAGTGTCCGGATAGATATTTTATTTACACTCAAAGCCCGTTATTGGTTTTTCCCCTGCGCGTTTCCTCTAGCCTGCTGGCTTAGTACACAACGCGCTAAATAGAAGTACAGAGTCGAAAACGGTAATAATCCAACTCACCCACCCGCGATCAAATAAACGGCCATTAGTCACCCTTGGGAATGTTTAAGAAATTTAACTTTTCTCACATACATTACTTCCTATTTCTATATATGTATATATATATAATCGTTAATTATATTTTCATTATTTATTAATTATTGTTTATTATTAATAATAATAATAAATTAATACTACACGCCGATTTGCGGCTTAAACTTGCCAAATGTTTAGAACTCAGAAAAAAATAATTGATACCTATTTTTTATATCGATAAAGAAGAAGATTTAAGGATTGAAACTATCCCTTGAAGTTGTTCAAAAGCCCCAAAAAGGCATAAAAATATTGACACATTATAGTCAATCTAGTTTCCTTAAAATTTGTATATAAAGGTTTTTAGGGTGGCTGAATACGAATCTAAAATCAGAATTGTAAAACTCAAAATGGCAAATTCAATTAAAAAAAATTTTTTAATAATTGAGAATTTTGAACAACTTCAAGGGGAATAGTTTCAATCCTTAAATACGTCGGTTAAGTTTACTAATGTTCTTATAATTTTATTACAGGTCATTACATGAGTGCTTTGAACATGCGTGATGGAGAGTCATCTAACTTCTCATCTGCCACTCAGCCTCTTAATCCCAACAATCCTTATTCACCCGACGGTAAGTTTTACAATGCAAAATTATCCAAATTACATAATTTTAAATATTTATAAATCCTGTGTTTATTCCTTAATTCATTAATAAGTTAATTTCCTATTGAGATGATCGGAATTAAATAAGTGATCCGTTTAAGTTTAAACATATATAGTTTATTCTGTTTTGAAGTTTCTTTTGAAAAAACTTTTAAAATAACATAGATTAAGGGTATGTGGGCAAAGGACGTTTTTTTTGTGGTTTGAAACTTTCTCTGAAATAAAAAATGATTTCGGGTTAAAATTTTGGAGAAATGATTTTGTTTGGTACAAGGAATCTCGCTGTTCTATTCATTTACCATAACTTAATGCAAAAATAATAAAAATAAAGCAATAAATCACGAAGTAGTATAAGGAGACATATCGCTGTATATAAAAGATGGCCCCGTTTTCGGTATTCACGGTTCTCAAGTTTTCACCAATCTAATTACACTTGCGCCTCTAGAGGGAGACCTCGGTATTAAAATCACGTGTTTACAGAATACAGAGTTTAATACCACAATTTCCCGCGGTTGGCGCAAGTGTAATTAGATTGGTGAAAACTTGAGAACTGTGAATCCCGAAAACGGGGCTACATTCCGTTAGAGCCGGCCACAGGTGATATGTCTCCTTAGGCACGTTGCACACTATCCGATTTGTGTCGGACGACAAAAAGTCGGACGATTTTTTGTCGGACGAACGAGCTTTACACACTGTCCGATTTTTGTCGTACGACATTTGATCATCCTACGAAAACTTCAGGTATCCGAAGGAATTCTTTAAGGTATGATTTCAGTCGCACGTTAGCCAGAGTACTGTGTGCAGCAAAAGTATTATTATAATTTGATATTTGCTTTTAAAAAATGAATATTAAAAATATAGTTGTCACAGCTTGTCTGCTACGTCGTAAAAATCGGAAACTACCTGAATCTATGAGCCTAATGATATTTTAATTATGGAGTTAACAAACAGAGAGTATTTTACCTCTATGGTTTAGAAATAAAAAAATTTTAATTATATATTGTTTAAAAAATTACTTTGTTTACACAAATTGTTATAAACAAATAAGAAAATTCAAATTTTTCTAATAGAGTCACGTAGAATTGGAAAAACTACCTGATTATATAAACATCGGACGAAAAATTGTCGGATAGTGTGCAAGCATCTATTGCTTTTCATAAGAGACTGCTTTGACGACATCATCCGACAGTCGGACGTTGTAGTCGATTCTTCCGGCAGCACAACGACATTTTGTCGGTCCGATTTTAAATCGGAAAGTGTGCAAAGCCCTATTTACTTCTTCAGTCCACTGAAAATTTTTTGTCGTCCGATTTTTTGCCGTCCGACACAAATCGGATAGTGTGCAACGAGCCTTAGTCCTTATACTACTTCGTGCAATAAATAGTAAAATAATGTATTATATCATAGTTCATTCAGCGGCCACTTGCTCGAATTGGCGCTGTTTACTGGAGCACTGAAAACTCAAGCAACGTCTGTGTGTGCGCCGCCATCTTTGTTTTCATTTTCGTTTAAAAATGCCACTTTTTAAACATCATTTTTTAATTATTTAACGCAAAATTATGTACTTTTCGGAGAACAGCGAGATTCCTTCACAGTAAAAACCTGGGATCAAAATGATCAGGCAACCGGGATCATTTTTGATACGCAGCAAAAATTAATCAGATCAGGATCATTCTGAGCTTGAATCAAAATGATCCTGATCCGGATTATTTTGATTCAAAGACAAAATGACAATTATTATTGAATAACAAGTAATTATTCAAAAAAATGTGAATAAAAATGATTTCTTTTTAATGAGCAAACACACTGCACTTGGAAAAACTTAAATATTTATTGCCGAGTTTGTTGTATTTATTAAATTAAGTAAACTAGATTTGTAGGTTAGAAATTGTCATAAGTGACAACGTTCACACCGTTTACAAATAACGTAAACAAAATATTAACGGCGCTTCTGTCTAAAAACCAAAGATAATGGCGCGAAATTCCAATGATGAAAAAATATAAATATTTTCTAAAATTAGTAAAAAATATCTTACAAAAAACACATAATCTAATTTCAAAATTTGTTTTACTTTAATCGTAATAATCACTTTTTTTGAATCATTATTAATTTTATTAAAATTTTGAAAATAATTGAGTTTTACAAAGAGTCACAATTGAAGTTATTTACAAATAAAGAAATATTACATTTTTTCTATGGTATCTTCTTAATTTTAGCTTGAATCAAAATATTAATTCTTTTAAAAGTTTATTTTTAGAACCTTAAAAACTGTTGTATAAAGGTCATACATTTTTTTAAAGCATCTGAACACACTAAAAATTTTAATTTGACTTTTTACATAAAAAAATATTTTTTTTTAACACCCTTTTAAGTTGTTTTATCGAGATCAGAAAAAAGCCAAAATTCTGTTAAGAAATCAGGGAAAAGTCAGCGAAAAATAAAATCTTGTGTCAGCGCTGATTAAATTATATATTAAGATTTAATATGATTTTATTTTATTTAATTGCAATAAATTGAATGAACATGTATATAATTAATTAATTAATTTAATAAAAAAAAATAATTGTTGAAATTTAAAATAATTTAATAAACATAATTATTTTTGAATCAATGATTAAGGAATGAATCATTAAGGAACAATCAAAATCTAAAAAATTCTTATTCTTAAATATTTTTAACAAAATAAATTATTGTTTATTTTTGATTTACTAAAAAAAATTATAACTATTATCATTAATTTTTTGACAAATATGATAAATTTAAAAATTTTAAGATTATTTAATATTATTGTTTAATAATTATTAAAATTAAATTATTAATATAAATAATAATTTTTTAATAATTAATATAATTAATTTAATTATTTAATAATTTTTAAAATTAAAGTATTATTTAATATTATTATTTTAATATTTTAATTTCAGTTTTAATCGAAATATTAATTCTTTAAAATGTAGTAATAGACTAATAGTAGTAATTGACAAACCAGTTCACTTAATTTTTAAACTTAAATTTTCATCGGTATAAATATCTTTAATGTTTATTGACTTTCATTATTATAGACTTTATTTTTCATTGTTTGAATTTTAATTTATAAATAAATTGTCAATGCTGTTAAATTAAATTCTGATATTAAATTTGAATTGCTTTGTTTCTTAATTACCAGATAGCGCCCTATTACTTAGACCAACTTAATAATCATAATCTTGGCGAGGATCATTTTGATTCACTTGAAGTTTTCCCATGAATCATTTTGATACGGAACTCAGAATGATACGCAGCAAAAATGAACCCAGATTTTTACTGTGTTGTACCCTAATCTATCATCCCTCAAAATTGTAGACAAAAATCTTTTTTCATTTTAGAGTAAGATGTATACTACCAAAACACATTTTCCCATACTACATCACGTGGGAGGTTCCCACATAACTTTAAATAAAAATTATTAGAACCAAACATAGATATATTGATTGAAATATAAATATTGTAAGTTTTTGTATTTTTTGAACAGGAAAATATATAAACGTAAAGTTTCTATACGGAAAAAAATGGAAATACGAATAAAGTAACTTTTACTACTTTAAAAGTAAAACCGGAACTGTCCACAGTTTCTGTTCATTTCTTGTCAATTTTTACTCGAGAAATAGTAAAATTTACTCCTAAAATAGTAAAAATTATTCCGGAAATAGTAAATTGTACTATTTCTGGAATAAAAATTGACAGAAACTGCGGACAGTTCCGGTTTTACTTTTAAAATAGTAAAAGTTACAAGTAAATTCAATATTATATGTATAATCTATTTTTAATTTCATTAATTGTTAAATATTGCATTATATTTGTCTTATTAAAATTATACGTAGATTATTTATAATAAATATTTGTTAATTTACTATATAATTTCTCTTCTGTTAATGTTAATATAATAATTAACTCATTCTTTATATTACACATAAGCCGAACATAAAAATATCCTATAAGTAAAGAGCGATAATTAAAACAATAAGCCAAAGTATTTCTCTTCGTGTTTATATGATTCTTTTGCTTTACAGATAACTACCCAGTGCATTCGGGCGAAAGTTTCTGCAGCACTGACTTGTCCCTCGATGGAACAGAAGCTGGCTTTGAAATTGCAGAAAATGAAACCGGTGGTCCAGAAAGCAGTCATCAGGGAAGTTCCCATTCCCTTCATACAGGAACAACACAAGAATCGCCTTCGTTGTCACAAAGTTTACATGCAGCCATTAATAATCCCATTGACAAATTGTATATGATGAGTAACAATTATTTTAGTCCAAATCACACATAATTTCACAAATTTTCATGTACATTACAATTTTAAATTATATATAATTATACAAATATAAATAATATAAATATTGCATTTTACACCAAAGAAGAAGAAAAAAAAAGTCTATTTTTATTTTCTTATCCAATTCTAATTCCATTATATGAAGAAGGTCAATCGCAAATAACACGATTCGCGTTCGAAACATCGCCCTTATGGTATTTCGACGCATCAAAAATAGTGAAAAATTAAAATTCAAAATGTTAATTTTTTGAAAACACTATCTTGTAGGGAACAAAAAAAAACACAACTTTTTTCCTTAATACTTTTTTTTGTAGAACCAATATTAATTAAATTAAAAACACCAAAAATTTTTTTTACAAATTTAATTAAAATTTTAAACATTAATCGTTGTTTTGAAGTCAAATGTTAATGAATTAACTTGCAATTTTTTATACAAGTTCATTTAGGTCTGCTGAAACCGAAAAAATCATAAAAATTTTAAAAATTATTTATTGTTTAATTATTTTTTTATTGTAAACAATGACCTGTCAGTAATATATTTTTCTTATTTTCGATGAGGAAAAGTCTGTGGTGAAGTTTTGAATTGATCAAACTTCCAGTGAGAAAGTTGTTCCTCGGTATTGAAGGAAGTTTTCTGGAAAATTTCAACAAAATTTATTAAAAAATAAAAAAGTTATGCAACACAGTTTTCCTAAAAGTATCAAATTGAGACCAAAAATTGCATTAAATCTTTGCAACGTTTTGATGCACATAAGTTATATCAAAAAGAGATCGTTTTGTGTATCATTTTTAGAAATGATACACGAAACGGTCTCATTTTTTGATGCAAAAAATTTAATCAATTTATATCAATCATGGCCGAATTGAATCGACTCAAAATTAAGGAAGTTCTCTCGCAAACAGAAATGACGAAGAGTTAATTATTAAACTTGATAAACTGATAGATAATGGTTTAAAGAAGATGTAGTTAAATTTTTAGAAGTCTAGGTGGATTTTGACAAAAGATATAAATAATTTTCTCTTTTCACATTTAACACGGGTTCTTATGGGAAATTGAATTTTTTGGTCTGAAATCTCAAATTGTGAAAAATCTGACGAAAAGATATTACTGGAACTTTATATACATAAAGTTTAATAGCCAATGTTCACTTACTTTTAATAAAATTAATCAGACCTGGCTTAGGAGACTCACAATTAATTATTTTGTCTAAAAAAACACCGTATTTTGACAATCAGAAATTACTTAGCACAACGCTTGGCAACGTTGCGTCTTGTAGGTTAGGTATAGAAAAAGCGCGAAATTTGAAAGTAATATAAGTAGTATATTCTTCAAAGATTCATAATAATGAATAATAATTTGAATTTGCTTATAAAAAATTAAGATTTTTAAAATAATAAATTATTATTATTATTATTTAACGAAAATAAATCAAACAATAGCAGACGACACGAAACGGAACGGGGGAAATATAATCCAACGTTGCCAAGCGTTGAGCTAGTACTACGTGATACAAATGAAAACTTAAATGGGCATTGATTTGACTGACGTTGGAGGGAGAGAACTTTCTTAAACGAATTTTTTTCAGATATTTTGGTAATAGTACAATTGCGGAGACCATTTCACTATTTAATTTGAAAATGAAAATAACAGAAAATCAAAGACAATGTGCAATTCGATAATTAAAAAGTGACAGCTTATAAACATAACCTAAAATGCATGAGAAAAAATTTGTCGATAAAATCAATATAGCCGAGCTTCTTAGAAGGTAGATGGCAGTTTTGCTTTTTATAAAAACGATTCAGAAAAAATTTAAAGAAAGAAAATAGATGAGTGCTGCCATCTACCTTCTAAAAAGCTCGGCTATATATTGATTTTATCGACAAATTTTTTCTCATGCATTTTAGGTTATGTTTATAAGCTGTCACTTTTTAATTATCGAATTGCACATTGTCTTTGATTTTCTGATATTTTCATTTTCAAATTAAATAGTGAAATGGTCTCCGCAATTGTACTATTACCAAAATATCTGAAAAAAATTCATGGCACACATTTTTTAGTATTTTTATCTTATACATATGTTTTTAAACCCTTTATTTATAAATATTATTTTTTAATTTTAGAAATAATGAAAATGACTCTTTGCTCAAGCTTGATATTAATAAAATAATGAAATGTCATAATTATTATTAAAATAGTTAATAAAAAAAATAATGAAATAAACAATTTATTATTAAAATAATATAATAAAATCTAGTATCATCAGTTAGTTATAATAAAATCATTAATACTCCTCACTTTTATTTTGTATTAAAATATAAATTTCTGTGATTTTATTTTAAAAATTTAGTTGAAATTAAAAGTTTTTAATTACTGTAGAAAATGCAAATATTTTATTGTTATTATTATTAAAAAATGTGCGCCATGAAAAAATTTGAACAAATAAAAAAATTTGTGAAATAAATACACATGTATAAACAAGATAAAAAAACATGTGGAATTATTAACCGTAATAATAATAATAATGATAATTTTTTGCGAAGGAATAATAGTTAATAACAATTTAATAATAATAACAATTTAATAAAAATATTAATAATAGAAAAAATAAATTAATAACATAAAGGTACCTATAAAGGTGCTATAATCTTTATAGCACTGTATACTGTCTATTGGAGCGAATGTGTCACGCGGCGCGTATTCTTTAAAAATTGCATAACTTTTTTATTTTTTAATAAATTTTGTTGAAATTTTCCAGAAAACTTCCTTGAATACCGAGGAACAACTTTCTCACTGGAAGTTTGATCATTTGAAAACTTCACCACAGACTTTTCCTCATCGAAAGTAAGAAAAATATATTACTGACAGGTCATTGTTTACAATAAAAAAATAATTAAACAATAAATAATTTTTAAAATTTTTATGATTTTTTCGGTTTCAGCAGAAACAAACGAACTTGTATAAAAAATTGCAAGTTAATTCATTAACATTTGACTTCAAAACAACGATTTATGTTTAAAATTTTAATTAAATTTGAAAAAAAAATTTTTGGTGTTTTTAATTTAATTAATATTGGTTCTACAAAAAAAAGTATTAAGGAAAAAAGTTGTGTTTTTTATTCCCTACAAGATAATATTTTCAAAAAATTAACATTTTGAATTTTAATTTTTCACTATTTTTGATGCGTCGAAATACCATAAGGGCGATGTTTCGAACGCGAATCGAGTTGATCTCCTCAATATGTTCCTCAAGATAGTAGAATCACTTATACTAAGAGAATTTGCATTAATGGTTCGAGCCGACAACTTATAGGCATAATAATTAATACCCTAAATCGGATCAACTCATGTAATGTTTTGATACGATATATGGTATTAAATTAATCCAAATATTGGTATCATTTTTTGATACTCAAATTGGTATCAAAGTATAACTGTCATGGCCTCATGACTGAAATGCTTTATTGACAAGTTTATTAATCAATTTCTTCACTGGCACTAGGTTTTTAAGTATTAAAATTAATTTTATTATGAATTTTAAGAAAAAGAGAAGCGAAAATCATTTATAGTGAGCAGTTAAATAAGAAAAAATTTGTTTGCTGATAAATAAAATTACACTAATAATATAATACTTGAAAAATTTAACAAAAATACACTAATCTTCATTTATTATCGTCACAGCAGATTTAAGGTATAAGTTGATAATCACAACACTTGAAATTTCTAATTATTTTTATGGTTCAAATGACTATCAACAATTTAATAATTTGTGACAGTCCCCGAGAGAAGGGACCTTAGCTCACCAGAGGTCAATATTGAGTTTTATATGGTAAATGATAGATTTTGAATTGCTTTTTCACATGCAAAAGTCAAAAACTGATTAGGATAATTGCTTTTGACACAATAACATTTTGAAGATGGGTATGTCAAGCGCATTTCGAGGCGGATTGTGGCACTCAAGAAATCAGCCCCACTACTTTACTTACACAACTATACTCTCGCGTACGTGAGACCCGAAGATACACGAAGTAGACGAAGCTCACGTATACAGAAACACAACGTTGTGTTAGTGTGGTGGGGGGACTTTTCAGAAGTTCCGCCCCACTCTTCGAGTTCCGCGTTTCTGCTTCTTCTTCAAACGCTTGCCCTGTGAAATTCGTTTTGGTGAGCTAAGGTCCCTTCTCTCGGGGACTGTCACATTTAACAAAATTTCAATCCTACCCAAGTTTGCTTTGAACGAACATATTTTGGGTACTTGCTTCCCAACCCTGTTTGTTTACAAATGTCAATTTGCAATGAAGATTTTATGTGACAGGAAATTATTAATTGCATTAATTGACAATATATGAAAAATATTTATCAAGTACAATGTTTAAATTTTTTCAAATATAATTAAATTATTAAATTGTTGAAAATCATTTTAACCATAAAAATAATTTAAAATTTTCGAGTGTTGTGATTATGAATTGACCTTAAATCTGCTGTGACGAAAATAAATAAAGGTTAGTTTTTTTTTTATCTCCAACCAAATAGTTTTATATTCAACTGCACACTATGAAGAATTTTTGATTTTCTCTTTCTTAAAATTCATAGTAAAATTAATTTTATTACTTAAAAATTCAGTGCAGTGAAGAAATTGATACCAATTTAGGTACTAAAAAGTAATCACAATTTTCGAATCATTTCCAAAAAATTATACCAATATTTGGTTTTATTTATTACTATATATTAAATCAAAATATTGCATTCCAAAATGATACCATCATGAAATTAACAGTGATCTGAACGTTGGCTCAACTTTAAATATGTAGCATTAACAATACGCTAAAAAATAATAAAAAAAATAATTTTTTATATAACGCTCCATGAGAAAAGGGACCTTTAAGATAAAAATTGTTAGGTTATGCTCAGTGATTGTTTTAGCTTGATTAAATGTTCATTTTTAATTATATATACCTAAAATAAAAAAATCAGTTCTTATTGAATATTTTTGTTCTAATGAAAATGGTTTGTACCTCTCTATTTATTTATTTAGATACATATCTTCACAGTCCATTAAAAACCATAAATGGGAAATGAAATGTAATAAAAATACGAACTTAAATTTAAATTATATTAACTGAATATTTCCTCGAAAACTCACTATATCTGAAAAATTTTATCTCTTCGGTACCTTTTGACTCGGTACTAATGACAATTTCATTACATTGATTTATATTATCTACATAGATAAATAATAGTAAATTATGACATTGTAAAATAATGTAAGTATTTATGTAATTACAACCTTAAATAATGTTTCAAAATCACAGCAATTTTTAAGGTCATAATTACGATAGTAATTGCAATCATAATTCACACAAAAAACAAATACTGAAACCGTTAACATCTTAAAATCAAAATGCCTGGAAACTAGTGTAATTTTTATCTTAACTAGCGCCTCCGACGGCCTTTGGCTTCTATTTTTCTATTCTCCGTTGCTTCTATTTTTTGCCCATGGGTAAGAATTCCTGAAGTGGCCCCCAAATATTTTTTGTGTAATAGAAAAAAGTGATACTCATATATTTTAGTAGTCCATGATGTCACTAAAAAACCCCTGAAACGATTTTTCAAAATTCGAATTTTTTCATAAGTTATAAACAATTAAACTTTTTTGCAACGTTTTGGAAAAAATTCTGTATCTTGAAATTGGCCGAACCGATTTTAATAAAAATTGGTTTGGAGAAAGATTAAGATACGTACTTTTGATAAATAAATAAATTATGAATAAAAAGTATAATTTGTTTAAACAAATTATATTGTTAATTTTTAACTTTATAAATTAACAATGTTCTCAGTCGATTTTTCCAATTTTTTTTATAGCATCATAAAAAGGGGCTTTTCACGATTCCATGACAAAAATAAAAAAGTGGGATTCTCAAAAACTTTAGAAGATACAGAATTTTTAGTCTTAACGCGCGCGAGTTTTCTGAGCAGCTTACGCATACTGCACGGCATCTCCCGCGCGCTCCGCGCCAACCAAGACTCCATATAAGAGTTCCCGATTATAATATTTTATTAACTCAATTAAACTAAACAGTTGTTTATATGTATTTTATTATTCATATCATTTTTGTTTATATTTAATAATTTTTATTATTTATAAAATTTCTGTTTATAATAAGTTTCTGATTATTTAATTTTAATGATAAATTTTCAACGATTTTTAATTGCTTTGTTTATGTATCAATGAATAATAAAATATATTATTGCGAATCCGTGTTTTATTTTTCTAGACCGCATTGTTTAACGTTTGCTGTCAAAATTTTAACAAATTTCACGTTTATGCGCACTGAATGAAAATTTGCGCGTTTTCACGTGAAAACAAAAGAATCGCGACAATCGTCTGGTCATTCACCTAACATGATAATTTCGTTTTTAGATCATAGTATTTTCTTTACGTATACATAAATGTAAGTCCGTGTTTGTTGTTTCGAATAGTATTTTTCACGTTGTATATTAAAAATTTTACTTTTTCGCGTATGTGCTATAAAAACAAATCTTAAAATATGCCAAAAGCAAATACTTGCTGTCTCCAACCCTTTGAAAAAAAACGAACATAAAGCAGTTTATAAAAATCTTGTGAAAGTGCCTAATTCGTGGAATTATAGATTTAAAAATTTAATAGGACAGTTCATTTGTTTTTCGTGCAAAGCAGCCATCAACAAATTAAAGAAAACGAAAACGTTTTATAAGCCAAAAATTATTAATTATTAAAAAAATGATATGCATAATAAAATAAATATAAACAACTGTTCAGTTTAATTGAGTTAATAAAATATTATAATCGGGAACTCTTATATGGAGTCTTGGTTGGCGCGGAGCGCGCGGGAGATGCCCTGCCGTATGCGTAGCTACTCAGAAAACTCGCGCGCGTTAAGACTAAAAATTCTGTATCTTCTAAAGTTTTTGAGAATCCCACTTTTTTATTTTTGTCATGGAATCGTGAAAAGCCCCTTTTTATGATTCTATAAAAAAAATTGGAAAAATCGACTGAGAACATTGTTAATTTATAAAGTTAAAAATTAACAATATAATTTGTTTAAACAAATTATACTTTTTATTCATAATTTATTTATTTATCAAAAGTACGTATCTTAATCTTTCTCCAAACCAATTTTTATTAAAATCGGTTCGGCCAATTTCAAGATACAGAATTTTTTCCAAAACGTTGCAAAAAAGTTTAATTGTTTATAACTTATGAAAAAATTCGAATTTTGAAAAATCGTTTCAGGGGTTTTTTAGTGACATCATGGACTACTAAAATATATGAGTATCACTTTTTTCTATTACACAAAAAATATTAGGGGGCCACTTCAGGAATTCTTACCCCCATTCAATTTAATGGCCAAGGTAGGGATATACCACTTCTCATCATAGGACGAAACTAATAATTTCCAACGCGAAGTATATAAAAGAATTTGTTAGACTAAAACTGTCATTAGTTTTCTGTTGAAGTAAAGTCCTACATCTAGTCCCATTGGGACAATATTATTATTGTCGTTACTTATACATTATTTATTTTGAGACATGTTCCAGTCAATTTATTTGTAAGTGTTTTCATTTTCAAACTTTTTCATCTTATTTTCACATAAAGTTTAATAATCAATTTTTCAAAATTTTGTATGTGGGTGATTCTCCGCGTAGCGCACAACTTAATGTCCCTCGTATTTTTTAAAAAATCAATTGCACATATTGCAATAAATCCAATGGGAAAAACTAATTTCTATGTGTACAAACAAAAGCCCATAGTCGTTTTTAATTAAAAGTTTAGAATTTTACTTAAAAAGCTGTTTTAAGGTGCCCATGGTCATGGACATGGTGGTCATGGTATGACCTGTCCCCAGTACCACTTTTATTTAAAACAATGTTATTTTTAGTAAAATACAGTAATCAATATAAAAACCATTGATAGTTTCGTATTGTTTATGTTAGTAGAATTGTGAAAAAAACCATTTGTGAAAAAAAATTTTTTTGGGTCATTCCATTTTATTTCACCTATAGTCGTTGCGGCCTATTTTTAGAAAAATTTGGTATTTTGTATTAATGACTTTTAATATATCCATACAATTCATTTTTGACAATTATTTTATGAAATTTTTTTTTATTTACGTTGAAATTAAGTTTTTAAGTTGAGTTGAACGGAAAATAGGTTAGTTTGACAGCTTTGGAAATTTTATAAAAAAGAACAGAAATAATTCAGTTAGTAAATTTTTTTTCATTCATATTTGTTTGAAATAGTCTAATTTACCAATGTTAATTCATAATTGTGTAAAAAAAGGCAAAATACTAAGTGAAAATTAATATTCAAACTTACCTGTAAAATGTCAAAATTTGTCACATTTTATTTATATTTTCCAAGAAAGTTTATAAATATTATAAAATTTATTACTACCTAACAATAAGTACTTCCCATGTACTTTCACATGATATGTTGGCTTTTTATTTTTATAATATAGAAATATGTGAAATTTTACCTTGAATGTTGAACTTTTCAGGATTTTATCTGATTTTGAACACTTATATCTTCGCAGGCGATTAATGAGAAAATCCCATTTTGGTTTTAAAATTTAAGTTAAATCTTCTTTAGTCATCTTATCAAAATTTGGTGATGGAGAACGAGCTATTTTTTATTTTTATTCACTTTAAAAAATTCACCGTAAAATACGAATTTGAAGGTTAAAAAACAAGTATTTTTATAAATAAAATTCATACAAATAAATCTATATTGAGAAAACCAACTTCAGTTTTACAAAATTACTTGTTTTTTAACCTTTAAATTCGTATTTTACGGTGAATTTTTTAAAGTGAATAAAAATAAAAAATAGCTCGTTCTCCATCACGAAGTTTCGATAAGATGAATAAAGAAGATTTAACTTAAATTTTAAAACCAAAATGGGATTTTCTCATTAATCGCCTGCGAAGATATAATAAGTGTTCAAAATCAGATAAAATCCTGAAAAGTTCAACATTCAAGGTAAAATTGCACATATTTCTATATTATAAAAATAAAAAGCTAACATATCATGTGAAAGTACTTGGAAAGTACTTATTGTTAGGTAGTAATGAATTTTATAATATTTATAAACTTTCTTGGAAAATATAAATAAAATGTGACAAAATACTGAAATAAAAAAAATAAAAAAAAAAATTTTAATTTGTTCAACTATTATATATCTACTACAAATTTTTTTTCAAGTTTATTCATCCCTTAGTACAGTAATATATACTTAAGGAAACTTTTTTCTTAAAACTTTCTTAGAAACTATGCTGTCCCCATTTACCCCGAATTTTGTGAAATTTTCTAAATTTTGGGGTAAATGGGGACGTCAGTTTTATGCGTTTAAAGCTTATCTAAATTTTTTCTGCTGCACAAAATTAATCCTGGGAATGTAAATAACAACTTAAAAAAATATAAACCCTAAATTTAAAAAAATATTTTCTAAATATAAAATTTATTACAATTTTATATTTCTTAAATATGACATTATAATCTTTTAAAACTTCATTTAATTTAATAATGATTAAAAAATAACAAATATTTTTTATACAAACATTGTTTATTAGTTACTTATAGTAATTTGAGAAATGCAATATTTTATCATTTTAGTGTTTTCTTCGGAAGTTTAGTCATTGTTAATTCATTCAAGATAATTGAAGACAAAACACCTACAGTCGAAAGAAATGTTAAGAATGATATTGCTGTTTGTAAAACCAAGGAATGTTATAATATAGGTAAGTTTCTTATTTAAAGTTTTATATTCAATTTTTTTGAAATGTTAACATTAGCAATTACAGTAGGGGAGACGGGGGTTACAAGCGCACTTTTTACTCTTTGTTGTGTAACTCATTTATTTTTGCTTTTTTTTAAAAGTTATTGTAAAGAAAACTTGTGGTAACATTTCATCTTTAATTTAAAAAAAAGAAAGTTGCAATATATTTAATACTTTTATTTCTATACCACTTTATTCGAAACTGTGCAACCCCGGGTTGCTTGGCACAAGAGTGAAATTAATTAAATTATATGATTTAAAGTTTAAACAATATAAGACTTAACAAAATAAGTCTTGTACTGTAATTTTACAATAAAATTATTTTAAAAATTAGAAATTTTCATTTAAATTAAAAGCATTTTCTATGAAATCGTAAAATTATCAAAAAATATATGTATTTTTTGATAATTACGCTTATAGAATATTTAAAAACCCATTATTCGGTTAAATTTTTTGAAAACGATTGTTATTGGTGCTTATTAATGTGTAAATTTCATATAATCAACTTCATTTAATCATTTTATTAATATTTAACCAAATTGTCAGATAACCACGCCACCTAATCCCGAATGTACTTTTGAAATATTTATTAATTTTTTATAAAAACTTTTAATATAAATCAAAAAATTTATTTTTTCGCCATTGACATGAAAAAGTGTATTTTTTGTGCCTGTTTTGGGCAGATAAAGTAGCACTTTTTAAGGCAGTTGTTAATTTTTGCATAATTTTTGTTTTGCTTTTATTTTATTTATCAATTTTTATTATTTTATTTTATATACTATTTCATATATATTATATTATATATGTATATTATATATATATATATATATATATATATATATATATATATATATATATATATATATATATATATACTAGAGGGGCTACGCCCCCCTACGCGCTTCGCGTGCCAACCCCCCTGTTTTAATCATTTTTTTTAATTTTCCATTGATCTTATTTTTCCAAATGAACCACCTATTTCAAAGAATTATTATTACAAATTCATTGAAATCTGAATAAATATTATTAATTACTACCCGTCTGAAATTAATAAATAATAATAAATTAAAATTAAAACTAATTAATTTTAATTAATAAATTAATTAAATTAATAATAAATAAATAATTAAATAAATTAAAATCGACATTAAGAAATTATTTTTAAAAATAATTTCAATGAAATTGCCTAAAAACCAATAAATTATTAAAAAGTCTTGAAACGAACATAACCTTTAAATTCAAGTTATTTTTGGCGGGAACTCCACCTCCACTTGCGGCTATATTGAAAGTCTTGAAATTTACATAACCTTAAAATTTATGTCATTTTTGGCGGGAAATACAGAGAGAGATGAGGGAAGGGGGAAGGACTTACTGCTTTATTAGTGTCTTAGAACAAACATACCCTCAAAATTTAGGTCATTTTTGGCAGAGTAGGGGAAATGAGTGGATGGAGGGGGGACTTGCGGCTATCTACAGAGCCTTGAAACGAACATAACCTCAAAATTTAGGAGGGGGACTCCCCCCCCCTCTCCTGAGTCAAGAATTCTTGAAACAGCGCTCGCACGTAGTAATTTTTAGGTTCGGATGATTACAATACTCGCTGTCTGTGCGACTTCGGTTCGACTAAGCTCGCCTTCGTCTCACCTACGTCGCACTAACGACAGCTCGTACTGAAAATTACATCCTCACCTAAAAAGTACTACTTTACGTGCTAGCCACATAATATACTATATTGTTTCTTAATAACATATGTAAAGAGCCAAAAACTGAATTATTTATTTTAATCTATACTCAAGAATAATTAATGAATATTAATGAAATTGTGTACAAATATACAGTTCATCACACAGAAAAAACCTGAATTCAAATTGAGTATAGATTCTATACTCAATTTGATTCGCAACAAAAATGAAACTGGTTGTCTCATTTTGAGTTCTAAGGTAAAAGTATCAAAATGAAACAGGCAAGTTTCATTTTGAGAAAAAGAAAAATGGAAAAATATTGTGAAATAACGAATAATTTTGCACAAAAACATGAAATATAATAATTACAAAGAAGTAAATAACACGCTAGACTTAATATATTTGATTAAAAATTGCTTGTAATCGCGTAATAAAATAATAAAGGAAATATGTTTTTAGGTTAGAAAAATGAAAACATGTGTTTTGACAACAGGAACGGTACTGCCAACTTAAATAATAGCGGTAAATTTAAAAACTTATGAAATTAATTATTATCTACGTAAATAATAATAAATAATTTTTATTTAAAAACTTCTAAATATTCGTACTGGTCAAAATAATCTTTCTGGTGTTGTTGAAATATTAGAAACAATAATTGAAATACAAAATTACTCTGCTTATGATGCCAACTTAGAAATCTGAAATTCCAGCCAATATCATTTTGAATAACATGAAGTTTGTCCCATACTCATTTCGATACCCAAAAGAAAATGAGTTGCAACAAAAATGAGTCCAAGTTTTTTCTGTGCAAGTACTTTAACTTGAATGAAGAGAAAAATTAATTTAACTTAACACTTTTGAATAAACTCAAGTGCGCCAAACAGCTCCAGTCTCCCCTACTTCTTTTTGCAGTGGATCATAAACAATATTTACACTAATTTTATTTTATAATTTTTATTATATATACAAAATTTGAATATAATTGAATGTTTTTAACAACATTTTGTGTTTTACAGCCGAATTTATTAAAAAAGGAATGAATGATACAGTAAATCCTTGTGACGATTTTTATTCCTACCTATGTGGATCATGGCAGACTAATTTTCCGACTCCGGAAAAGAAATTAAAATGGGATTTGAATGCAATAACTAACAAAAAAATATATACTGTTTTAAAAGGTAATGCTTTATATATATCTATATGTGTGCTTTAAATAATTCAATTAATATTAAATTTATGCCTGATTATAATTATTATAATCACAATATCTTTTTCTTGTAAATAAATTATTATATAGAATATAAAAAATAATAATTTTATTGCCAATAACTTGAACTGTATAATTTTTTTTATTCTTCCTATTGTTGATTTTAGAAATTTTGCAAAAGCCATCAAGCTCTGAGGATAATAAGCTATTAGCTTTAGAGAAAAAATGGTTCAAGTCTTGTATGGATGAAGGTAATTATTTTTAATTTAATTTTTTAGATTCTAACTTACTTTTTTGAAATTTATAGTGGAATGTAGTCATGAGTGGACCACCCTGGAAAAATCATTTTAAAACTTCTTAAAATTCATTAAATATCATACAATTTAAATTTTTATTGAATAATTATTTATTTAAAATACTTTTTAATGAAAATGATAAAAATAGCTTTAAATTAACTTTAGTTACGATTTGTATTAAGGTATAGTATTACAGTTTATCAAAAAAATCGATTTTTTTCTGCATTTTCCTGTTCCAAATCATCTTGATAATATAATCCCTTTTTTTTACTACTTGAAAACTGTAATACTATCTTTAATCAAACGTGAAATGTTTAATTACAGTGAACAACTTAGGTGGTCCACTCATGAAAATCAACAGAGTGGTCCACTTATGAAAATAGACGTCATTTTTGCGTGCACAAATTTTCTGAATATAAACATTAAAATTTTTATTTATCTATTTTGTCATGATTAATTTCACTGTCTAAATAATTTGTGAAATCCAAACTCACCCCTAAAAAGTAAAAACATACTATTTTTATAAGCACTTGGAAAATAAGATTCCAAAATTTTTACGCTACTTCGCGTTAGGTTATTTTTTTAATCATCTGTTCTGAATACAAATATGCATCCTTTCAGTTTAGATTTTCACTAAAAATAGTTTTGAAACAATGGGCAACTTATACAATTAACATTTTTATGAACAAACTTATAATTACAAATAATAATTGATTAACTAATTTAGTAATTACAACTATCAAACAATATTTACACTAAACAGCATATTTAAATATATAAAATTAAAAATTATCGATGGGTATAATAGCCCCTGGGATGGTATAATTACCTTGTTTAATGGTAATAAATATTTAAAATGTAAAAATATAAATTTCGATTTATTTCAGATAGCATTAATAAAAGAGGGTTGGAACCTTTAAGGAATATTATTGAAAAAGTAGGTGGTTTGCCATTGCTAATGAATACAAGTGTATGGGAAAAAAAAGAAATCACATGGCAAAATGTTGCTCAGTATTATGCCAATATTCTTGGCGAATACGATTTATTTAATATAGAGATTTCACCTGATTTACATAATTCCACAACTCAAACTATCATGGTAAGAATCACTTAATTTTTTAAAATATAATTTTAAATAAAACGCGAATAGATGAGAAAAATAAAATGACAATATATTGTAAACGATGACACAACACTGTCATTATACCCATTGGGGCAGTAACCATAAGAAATAATGTTTATTTTGTTATGATACAGCAAATATTCTACCATGATAACACTTATAATTTTCATTAAATTGTAGATTGATCAAACCAGTGACATCCGAATCGAATTTGCAAGTTTCATTAACAAAGAAATTAGTTATTATCATAAACAATTTATTTCATACAATTCTGAAGTAAATAATTTGGATAAAGTTGATGATGCTAATCCTAAAGAAAAGATTTTTATGTCTATATTAAAATTCATTTCTGCATATTCAGGATCCGAAGGAGGAAGGGACGAAAAAGAAATAATAAATGACATAGAAAATTTAATTGAATTTCATTCTTCCTTGGAAAAGGTAATATTCGTATATTATATTTATTAATGCTGAGAAAATTGCTTTGGTCGTACCACCAACAGAAATTTTGTTGTTCATACCAAATTTTTCTGTTTTAATATCTAAACATAATTACAAATTATTTAGGGTCATTTGGGGTAAATGTAAACGGATTTGCTTAGTTTCGACAATAACGTAAGTTTTTTATTTTAAAAAGCAATACTTTCGGTTTTCTACTGCATGAACTTGTTACTTCACTTCCCTAGAAACATTTTATGAGGTACAAAAAAATATTGATTAACTTGAATCGCTTAAAACTGACTGTTTACATTTACCCCGAGATTTTGAAATTTTCACAAAATTCGGGGTAAATGTAAAAACCCCTGTAGTTTAAAGAGGTTTAAGAAAAAAGTTATCCCAAGTATACTACTGTGTAAAGGGATGTAAAAACTGAAAAAAAATTCTTGGTAGATGTAAAATAATTGAACCAATTGATTGATATGCAACATATAAAATAAGCAATCATTACCATAACAAAACTAGTAATGTAAAAACTTGAATAACTTCAATAAATTTTAATAGATTTTCATTCAACTTGGTGAAAATAAGTTTTTAAGGTTGCTGAATAAGATGAAATTAAAAAATCAAAGTCAGCTTTTGTTAATGGATTCATAAGGAATAATTAGAAATTTTAATTTGAATTTGTAGTTCATTTTTATTCAAATGCGAGACAAAATACTGAAACAGTAAAACTTTGATTTTCAATCTTTCATGCATTAAGCGACAAATTGGAGTATGGCTTTGACAATTGTCGAAAAAAAAAATTGGCAATACTCAGAACCTGTTGCAGGTGAGCTGAGGTTAAAATATTGGGGTCGAACTTAATTTTAAATCTGTAAATTAAGCTGCAATATCTGCTGTTTACATTTACCCCTTGTTTACATTTTCCCCAAATGACCCCAACGAATTAAAAATTAAATTACTCTTAATATTAATTAATTCTTATTAGATTAAAACTCCTGAATATGAAATAGATGTAATGGATGTGGGAAATAATAAAATAACGATTAGTGAATTTCAAAAACATTATAATCGTAAACAATCTGGAAACACGAAATCAATGGTAAAAAATATATTTACTTTTTATTAATACAGATATTTAGATGCATTATAATTTTTGGTTCTAATTCTTATAAAAATTTTACCTTAAATTAAATTTTGAAGATTTAATTAAAACATTGTGTTTTCTTACTATTCTTTTGTTGTTTTTAATGATGTTTATAATTATATAATATATTGTTTTTAGATAAATTTGCTCGAATTTATTCAAGTTTTATTCAAAAATTCTGATGTTGTTATTGATGAATCAGAAGAAATATATGTAATAGATAAATATTTTTTTGACAAATTAGGTCAGCTTTTAGAACAGACACCTGAAAGAACCATTGGTGCGTATTAATATATTATAATAAAAATTCAATTTATTCATTAATTGGATCAAAATGAGTAAAACAAATCACATGAAACACTTTTCATGTACGATTTTTATTTTATCTATATGATTTTTGATAGATCATATGAATATTGTAAATTAAAGATTTCGAATTAAACTATAAGAATATTATTTGATTAATTTCAAATAGTTTTGTTTTTATATGAATCACAATATTTTAAAATTTGGTACTCAGAGTTTAGAACATATCAAAATGCTATTATTCAGCTGTTAAATACTTAAGGGATCTTTAAATGACAATCGCATTGATTGAACTATTCATTATGTCGAAAAAAATTTAATTCTAATTATTTCTGAAATAAATAAAATTTTTGAAAAATGTTTATGAGGATAAAAATGTATTCATAATTTTTATAAAAAAACATCAATTTGAAAATTAGATATAAAAGCGTTTCAAGTGGATGATTTCACTTACATTTTGACCCAATTAATTAAAATAAATCTTAAATTAAGGGTATGTGGGAACCTTCCACGTGACCTAGTATGGGAAAATGTGTTTTTGTAGTATCCATCTAACTCTAAAATGATAAGATATTTTTGTCTAAAATTTTGAGGGATGATAGATTTGGGTACAAGAAATCTCGCTGTTCTCCGAAAAATACATAATTTTTAGTTAAATTATTAAAAAATTAAGTTTAAAAAGTGACATTTTTAAAGGAAAATGGAAACAAAGATGGCGACGCATACACAGACGTTGCTTGAGTGTGTCAGTGCTCCAGTAAACAGCGCCAATTCGAGCGAGTGGCCGCTGAATGAACTTCTATTATATACATATTATTTTACGATTTATTGCTTTATTTTTATTATTTTTGCATTAAGATATAGTAAATTAGTAGAATGGCGTGATTCCTTGTACCAAACAAAATCATTTCTCCAAAATTTTAACCCAAAATTATTTTTTATTTCAGAGAAAGTTTGAAATCACATAAAACGTCATTTGCCCACATACCCTTAAATACATATAGAACATAATTTTGTTTCAGTCAATTACATTCATGCCAGATTTATAGGCAGAGTCAATGCATACTTAGACAAACCAACAAGTCAAATCCTTCCCGAGATTTTCAGTGTTGTGAAGGGAGTTCCCTTTGGATCAGAAAGGTTACTAATATTTTTATTTCTAATTAAATATATCTTGTAAAAATTAATAACTCATAAAGTCCAGAAAACTGTACAAATTCTATAAGAACCCAGTGCGAATTAAGAAATGAAATTCTTTGGCATTTAATTATCGCCCTATAAAAACATCACTGAACGTGAAAATGATAAACATTGATTTTAAAACACTTTTTTCAAAATCGGAAAAAATACCAAGGATCCTTATATTATAAATTTCTTAAATCCGAAAGATTGTTCAAATTCATACAAAAATGCGATTGAAAAACGAAAAGTAGGAAAATAATATAATCATAGGTTCATTACGCCCTGCCGCCGTTAGATGGCAGAAGCATGCAAGAATTATTTGGCGTAAATATTATTTTTTTATTTAAATAAAATAAAAATCTATTTAAAAATAAATACATATTTATTCGGCTATGAGACAAATATACCATTTTTCTGGGTGTAATATCTAGGGTTAAAGTCAAAATTAATATAATTTAATTAAATTTATATAATATATGTTGCTTTTCAACTTTTTTGAAATTGAAATTTTCAAATCGTTAGGTGGGAAATATGTATAAATAATATGCCTCTCAAAAACGGAATATCTATGGAATTTATGAAAAGTCAAGTTCCTAATGTAACCATACAAACTGTAAGTTGTATTTTTTATTTATTATTAACAAAATAAAGTATATAAATGGGGCGTTCCATGACAAACCAACATATCGTAGACTGTGACATTTTTGATTTGGCTCAAATTTTTTTTACCATTTTTTACCCTCCAAAAAAGAGCTTCATGATTTTTTCCAAATTTCTTGACTAACCCAAAGGGAAAAAAAATACAACTGGCGCAATTTTACAGGCTTAATCAGTTGTAAAAAATAATAGATTGAATCAGTAAACAACAGAAACTTATATACTGATATCATCACTCTCTAAATTTTAATCAGCGGAAAATCGCTGATTGGGCAGCTATAAGTATGCAGCTGATTCAAGCAGCGTATATACATTGATATACACTATTTCATCAGTGTATATACGCTGTTTGAATCAGCTGCATACTTATAGCTGCAAATTAGCGACGTTTTGCTGATTCAAATTTAGAGAGCAAAAGAATGCACAATTCTAACCCGACAAATAATGATCCCAAAGTCGACCCAACTTCAAATAGGTAGTAACACCTATCTACACTGATTCAATCAACTTCTTTTCACAACTGATTAAGCCTGTAGTACACTTTCCATTGATTGCCTATTTTAAGCCAAGGCGAGGCAATAAAAATTGCTTTGCGCCAGCACTGACAGACAACACTGCGCCAGTGCTGGCTGGATGGACTTCACCAGCGTTGATACATGTTATCATTTCAGCTTCCAGCCAGGACTGTCTGTCAGTGTTGCCAGTGTTGGCGCAGTACTGCGCCAGTTGTTTTTTTCCCCTTTAGCTCAAGCTAAAAGTTTTCGTGTTCCCGAAAATATTCAAGTACTCGAATGAATTCGAGCATATTAAACGTTCAATTTTTATTGTTTTGCAAAATTTACTAAAACAAACAATCGAATATTCAAATTCAATTTACACAAGTACTCGAATTCACTCGAGTGATTGAAGTCACTCGTGTACTCGAAATATTCGGGTACTCAAAAACGTTCGAGTACTCGAAAATTTTCTAGCTTTTTATATAGCTCACCTTTTTGCACACCTATATTGGTTTGGCATGGAACTCCCCAAATACAAATAATTTTTATTGAAAAAAGGTGTCATACTTCTATATTAAATTCTTGTTGGAATAGGCGAAAGAAATGGCTGAAGAAATACGAAAAGAAATTAATACCGAAATTTCAAACTCCAATTGGATGAATAATGAAACCAAATCCCTGGCAATGGACAAACTCAAGTTAATGGAATATACAATTGGTCATCCAAAATGGTATTCGTCATCTGATTTCAGCGAGAAATATAACGGGGTAAGAAATTTAACAAATCAAAAAATTCAATGAACTTTTTTTTTAATTGATAAATAAAAATATTATAGTATATCCGAGTAAAAAAAATAATTGGGAGTAAGCGAAAAGAATTGGTGGTAACTTAAGCTGAATTCGGTTTGGCGAAAAAACCGAATTTGAACGTTACGGTGAATTATTTTTTTCTTACCGTGAATTCTTTTCTCTTAAACATTTGAATTGACGTTTGTTTATTTAAGTTTGCATTATAAATAAATTTATATAATAAATGTTTCGAAGTTGAAAAAAGCCAATTTGGAATAAGAAATATATAATATTTTAAAAAGAAATAAAAGCAAAGTGTGACAGATTCACCGACAATTTTATCAAGTGTGTAGTGTTCATGTGATAAATTTACCATATGAGTATACTACTCACATGGTAAAATTGCCCGTGTAGAAATTGCTCTACCAGGGTTGTGTTTACGATATAGTTTTACCTTAATTAAAAGTTCCTTTTTATTTATATTAAATATTTTGAATGTTATAAAGACTTAAACATCAATAGTTTGTATTGAGAGCTGATTTTCTATTTGTTTTTACTTAAAAATTTGAAAACATAACGTATATTTTTCTGCTTCAGAGCGCGTCACATATTAAGGTTTTCATCGCCAAGAGTAAAATAGGAAATAGATAAATTTCGAAATTGAAATTAATGATTGGACGATAATCTTTCTCATTTGTTCTGCATAGACTCGAATTTATTCCGATTCTTTTATCTATTTCCTACTTTAACCTCTGTGTGATTATAAAACAGCCTCTAAGAAAAGTTGATGATTGTATATTTATAATTGTTAATTATTTAAAAAAAAATTATTAAACAATCGTTTCTTTTGCAGCTTAAAATTGGACCAGATTATTTTGATAATGCAATTCATTATTTCAAATATGTTAAAAGCAATAGTGCAACAAATTTTAGAAAACCATTCGACAAGTATAAGTACGATATTATAAAATATTAATTTCTGTCTTTTCCATTACAAGTAATTAGATTAGGTTATGTTACTGTACAACATAATTTAAATAATGTATTCTTACAGATGGGAATTTCCACCAGTAAGAATATTTTCACCACTAACATTAAATGCATTCTATTATACCCCAACGAATACTATTAGTAAGTTAAAAGAAGTTTATAAAATATTAATATATTATTTTAAAACTTTTTTAATATATGTGCCATTCCATAAGTTTTTTTTTATCACTTTTCGGAGTAACCTTTCCAAATTAAATGGAACATTTTTTTATAATATTTATTAATATAAAGGTCCAAAATAATCACTTTTGAAGTAAAAACAATTGTTTATTTAAAAAATACAACAATAAATAATGAAAAAAGTTCATTTTTTTTCTGCACCACCAAATAAATTGGTTTAAAGATCAAAATGTTTTTTACTACGCTAGTGTAATGAGCTTCTGCTCAATAACGAGAGCGACAACTGCCGAAAGTCGCGCGCAGCGTTAGCAGACGTTTCACAGTAAATAAAATACAAAAATTTAAACAAACATTGTTTAATCAATTGTGAGTTAACTATTTCGAATCATGTCATTTTTCTTGTGCGGTATGAAAGCTATAAAAATAAGGAAAATTTTGTTCTTTAAAACAATATATTTGGTGGTGCAGAAAAAGAGTGAACTTCTTTCATTATTTATTGTAGTATTTTTTAAATAAACAATTGTTTTCACTTCAAAAGTGATTATTTTTTACCTTTATATTAATAAATATTATTAAAAAAATGTTCCATTTAATTTGGAAAGATTACTCCGAAAAGTGATAAAAAAATCTTATGGAATGGCACATATAATATATATATATACCCGTACAGCACCGAAACTTCCCTGAACCTTGACTGAACCTCGCTTGACGAGGTTCGGGAACTTAAGTCGCGAGGTCCAAACGAGGTTGAGTTAATGTTTAAATGTCCGCGCATAATAAAGGTCAGACACAGAGGTTGGCTGAATATTGGATTTGAATTTCTGTTAAATATTAAAATTAATGATTCTTGGCATATTGTGAGGTGATATTTAAGGAAATTACAAATTCAAGATTTGTTAAATGTAATCGTTAAATATTCTGGAAATTTAGAAGGAGCATAAATACGGAAAAATAAAAAGAAAGCAAATGAATTTAAACAACTATTAAAAATTGCCAAGAATCTTTAATTTTAATATTTAACAGAAATTCAAATCCAATATTCAGCCAACCTCTGTGACTGACCTTTATTATGCGCGGACATTTAAACATTAACTCAACCTCGTTTGGACTTTGCGACTCAAGTTCCCGAACCTCGTCAAGCGAGGTTCAGTCAAGGTTCAGGGAAGTTTCGGTGCTGTCCGGGTATATATATATATATATGTATATATTATGCTGTAAGTAATTTTTTTTTATTAATAATATTAATTTTTTGAAAAGATATTCCAGCTGCGCAGCTTTTAACTTCTTTCTTTGATGCGAATATTCCACTGTGAGTATTTTTATTTATAATTACGTAGAGAATGGTGAAATTTAAGAATTTTTTAGTTTAAACATTTTATTTATAAAATCAATTATTATTCTTATTATTCTGTTTATTTCAATAGTGCCTTAAATTATGGTTCAGTGGGCTACGTTATTGGTCACGAAATGTCTCATGGATTTGATGCCTTTGGTAATTTGACATATATATATATATATATATATAAAATTTTTAATTATTTGAGAAATTTCAGATAAAATGATCAAGACCTAAATTGCACAATGATTTGGATCGCCATTATTTTCTCCAAAACCCAATTGAGTATATATCTAACTGTCAAAAACTTATTTCTCCGAATACTTATGTGACCGAAATTCCACTGATCAGAATACTTAATTAACAAAAACTCCACTAGTCAGAAATGCAAATTTGGGAATTTCAATATTCGGATAACTAGAGATTCGGTAAGTTTATTATTTGGACAAATGGATATTCGGGAAGTAAAATATACTGACAAATACAAGTTTGGGAAGATGAATATTAAGACAACTGAAATATTGGGAAGTAAGATATTATGATAAATTTAAATTCCGAATGTTAAGTATTTTGACAAATAGCGATTCGGGAAGTTAAATATTCTGGCAACTGCAAATTTGGAAAGTTAAATATTTTGACAACTAGAATTTCGGCAAGTTCAATATTCTGACAATTAGAATTTGGAAAGTTAAATATTATGAAAAATGAAAATTCGAGAAATTAGATATTCTGCCAACTGGAGATTCGGGAAGTTAAACATTTGGACAAATGCAAATTTGGTAATTTCGATATTCTGACAACCAGAATTTTGGTATGTTAAATATTATGACAAATGGAAATTCGGAAAGTTATAAATTATGTAAAGTGGAAATTCGGAATGTTAAATATATTCTGACAAATTTCAAGTTCGGAAGTTAAATATTCGGACAGATAGAAATTTGTTAATTTCAATATTTTGACAAATGTAAATTCGGAAAGTTAGATATTATGACAAATGAAAATTTGGGAATTTAATTATTGTGACAAATAAAGATTCGTAAAATTAAATATTCTGAAAAATAGAGTGTTTGAAAGTTACATATTTTAGCAAATGGAGATTCGGAAATTTAAACATTCTGACTATTGGAGTTTTTGTGAATTAAGTATTCTGATCAGTGGATTTTCGGTTACATAAGTATTCGGAGAAATAAGTTTTTGATAGTGAGATATTCTGTCTATTGGGTTTTTGAGAAAATAATGGCTACCCAATGATTTTTAAAAGCTCTTTTAAATAATAAATATTATTCTTATACTCAACTTGATTTTCATTTAAGGTTTTATAAAATCAAATGTACGTTTTATTTGTTTTTAAACGCAGTTTTTTAACATCAGCTAGTCTATAGATGATTTTCTCTGAAATAACTCTTATGTATATTGCATAATAATATTTTTTATTTTTTATTCTTTTCTTAATCTATATTAATTACTGTTTTTTTAAAAAAATATATATCATATTAGGTCGACATTTTGATGGAAATGGAAATGTCATTTCTTCGTCGTCAGGCGAATTGATTCGTGAATATAAGAAAAAGGATAATTGTTTTGTGGATCAATATAATAATTATAAAGTAATTGAAATTTAATTAAATATATTATTGAAACAACTCTTTGAATTAGATAATTATTTTTTTTTATGTAAAATAGGTAGACGGAAAAGAAACTCGAAATGAAAATTTTGCTGACGCTGGAGGATTAAATGCAGCTTATGGTGCTTACAAGGAAAAAATTAAGAAAGACAAAATTAAAGAACAAAGTTTACCAGGATTAAAAAACTTAGATTCAGATCAATTGTTTTTTGTTGGTTTTGGTGTGGTAAGTTAAGAATTTCACTTTCAGATTATATCTCTTTATATACTAAAAAAAGATCTCGCCGCCGCCACCGTTGTTTCAAGAATTTATTTATGGTTTTAGGTTTGTTAGTATTATGGCCTTGATTTTAATCTCAAACCCAGCGATCTCTTGATCTAGAAATTGACCTGATTTTGAGGTTATGTTAGCCGATTTTAACCCCAAACCCAGAGTCCTCTTGACCTAGGTCCTCAACATTTGACCTTGAATTATGAGGTTATGTACCCTTACTTATTGAAAATTAAGATTATAGCCTTGGTTTGAGATTACAATCGACAAACATAACCTCAAAATTAGGTAAAAACTCAGAGCTAAAGTACGAACGTAATCTCAAGAATTCTTGATTACGTAGGCGGTTGGCGCGCGATATGTGATGTACTACATAATTAATACATTTTAATTTGTTTAATAGAATTATTGTGAGAGTGGAATACCATCGTACTTAACGTCAAAAAGTTCTGATACTCACACGGAAAATCCTTCGAGAGTAAATGGAGCCGTGGCAAATGTAAAAGGATTTAGTGAAGCATTTAAATGTCAAAAAGAACCAATGTGTTCACTATGGAATTGATTAAACTAAATTTTATCATTATCATGTAATATATAGAATGAAAATTATGAAGAACTTTAGATATAACATTGTAATGCTAAATCTAACAACCAGGAAAATGTTTTTTTTTAACTTAAGGAAGATACGTAAACTCTAATTTATTAACTAATTTTTAACAAAATTTATACTTTTAATAATTGAAAAAATCTTACGATTGTAGAGAATGTTTCATTTTTAAAATAAGCTATTGTTTATAAAAATTGCAAGTTTTGTCTGTTTTGATAGAAAAAAAGACAAAAATGTTAAAACAAATAATTATTTATCAAAAAAAATTTAATTTAACATAATTTTTCTCGAAAAGTGTATAACTGAATTTTCTGAAATTAATTTTCATTAAATTTTTGTTTACGTTAAAAACAATTTTTCAGTTTTTAGGGTATGTTAGGACCTCCATTTTTTCTTAAAGTAATCCTGTTTGTATCAAAGAAATTTGTGCATTTACAATACGTTTAAACAAAAATTTATTTATTTTCTTTTTTCATTGACTTAAAGAAAAATTTCTTTATTTGAACGCAATTTTTATTCAAATTTATGCGATTAATTTATACTCGAAATTTACCATTGTAAAATTATACAATTTGCACTTGTTTATAACCTGATAAATTATTTTTTTTATTTAAATATGTTACAACTAAAATTATATATATAAATAATAAAAATATTATGTTTTACACACAAGAGGAAAAAAAAATCTATTTTTTATTTCCCGATTTAATTCTCATTCCATTATTCCTTATAATAACAAGATCGGTTACTTTATATTGTTAAAAACTATGCATTTTTACAAAAGACCTTGAAATCGATTCATGAATATTACAAATTTCTTTATTTAACGGCATGTGGGAAACTCCCACGTGACCTAATATGGAAAAATGTGTTTTGCGAAAACCAAACTTTCTCTAAAATGAAAAAAGATATTGGGCTAAAATGTTTAGAATTAATAGAGAACCTTACTGCAAATTCTCATGAAGGATCTTATATAGGATCTCACATAAATTCATATATTAAAATCGATTAAAATCCACATAAAATCCTATGTGTCATGTAAGAAATTATATATAGGAAATTAAGACATGATTTAATTTCGCATCCAACGAGGAATAAGTAGATTGTTAATAAACAATTGCAATGTTAACTAATTGTTTATTAACAATCTACTTATCCAAAATACTTCATATAGGGCTCGTTGGAGCGGAATTACATTAACTTTCAATTGCTAACTTCAAAAAAATTAATTAATTAATTAAAAATTTTCGAGTATTGTGATTATGAATTGACCTTAAATCTGCTGTGACGAAAATAAATAAAGGTTAGTTTTTTTTTTTATCTCCAACCAAATAGTTTTATATTCAACTGCACACTATGAAGAATTTTTGATTTTCTCTTTCTTAAAATTCATAGTAAAATTAATTTTATTACTTAAAAATTCAGTGCAGTGAAGAAATTGATACCAATTTAGGTACTAAAAAGTGATGACAATTTTCGAATCATTTTCAAAAAATTATACCAATATTTGGTTTAATTTAATACTAAATATTAACGGCATGTGAGAGAAACCCACGTGACCTAGTATGGGAAAATGTGTTTTGCAATATTCCAACTTTCTTTAAAATGAAAAAAGATTTTAGGCTAAAATTTTGAGGGTTGATAGATTTGGGTACAATGCACCGCGTTGTTCTCCTGAAAAAACTTAATTTTGCGTTAAATTATTTAAAAACTAATTTTAAAAAGTGACATTTTTAAACGACAATGACAACAAAGATGGCGGCGCATACACAGACGTTGCTTGAGTGTGTCAGTGCTCCAGTAAACAGCGCCAATTCGAGCGAGTGGCCGCTGAATGAACTATGAACATTATTTTACTATTTATTGCTTTATTTTCATTATTTTTGCGACAAATTATAGTAAATGAGTAGAAGAGCCATATGCTTTGCACCTTCCTTTATCAAGTCCTGAATATTTTAACCCGAAATCATTATTTATTTCAGAGAAAGTTGGAATCCACAAAAAAACGTCCTTTGCCCACATGGCCTTAAATCAAAATGTTGCATTCAAAAATTATACCATCATGAAATTAACAGTGATCTAGAACGTTGGCTCAACTTTAAATATGTAGCATTAACAATACGCTAAAAAATAATGAAAAAAATAATTTTTTATATAACGCTCCATGAGAAAAAGGACCTTTAAGGTAAAAATTGTTAGGTTATGCTCAGTGATTGTTTTAGCTTGATTAAATGTTCATTTTTAATTGTATATACCTAAAATAAAAAAATCAGTTCTTATTGAATATTTTTGTTCTAATGAAAATGGTTTGTATCTCTCTATTTATTTATTGAGATACATGTCTTCACAGTCCATTAAAAACCATAAATGGGAAATGAAATGTAATAAAAATACGAACTTAAATTTAAATTATATTAACTGAATATTTCCTCGAAAACTCACTATATCTGAAAAATTTTATCTCTTCGGTACCTTTTGACTCGGTACTAATGACAATTTCATTACATTGATTTATATTATCTACATAGATAAATAATAGTAAATTATGACATTGTAAAATAATGTAAGTACACTGAAAGAAATTTTTCGTAATTACTGCCATAATTCTTCCTGTTTCTGTCATATCGTATAACTGAATTAACATGGAACTGTTACTGCCATACAGTTTGGGTAATCCAACCAAACGAATAGTACATTCAAAGAGCAAGATGTCTGAATCAGACTTCACATGGATAATCTGTCGTGTTTACAAAAAATTTAGGTAACTGCAAAAAAATCGAAAAATGAGTTTTTTATATCGTTGGAATCGTGGAAAAAAGATACACCTGTTTATTCCAATTTTTTTTAAAAAATTGTTAATATTATTAATAATAATTTTTGCATAAATAATTGAAAATACTGGTAACTGCAAAAATTGATGAGTGATAATTTGAGAAACTTAGGTAACTGCTATAAAAATTGGGGTGTCTTTGGGTGTTGTGACGTATTTTGTAGGTCGTGATTTGAAGAACTTAGGTAACTGCACCAGTGCAGTGCCTTAGTTTCTCAAAACACGGACCTCATTTTTCGAGCCCTCGTCGCATGGAAAAAGGAGGATCGTAATTTGAAGAGTAACTGCAAAATCTTAAACATTTCTTTAAAATTACAATGTTTTTTCTGCAATTAATAATTTATAATAACAATAAATAATAAAATAAAAAACTCCAATACTACTACTACTACCTAAATAATAATTTATCAATTATTGAAAAATTAAGTATTAATTTTAATAAATAACATAAAAGCATTAATAAATTAAGAAAATGAAGTAATATTCAGTAATAACATTTTTTATTTTTATGATAAATATATTTACTGCAGTATCAATGGTCTGTTATTTTTTTTTGGAACGCCTTATTCTGATTTAATACCTACAATAATTTGACTTTAATATTGTATAATTAAAATAAATTCAATCATATAGTTTAATATTTGTAAAAAACAATAATTATAATGATAACTTTCGCATCTTATTAAATAATTACACTTTATTATTTATTATTTTTTTTTATTTATTTTTATATTTTATTTTATTTCATATAATTATTTAATATATTTTTACTATTTTTTAATTTAATTTAATTTAATTTTATATTATTATATTGGAGAAGTTTCCCTAAGTTTCCTTATAGAAAACTAAAATTTGGTAAGTTTCTGATAGGGAAAAATGCAGAATTCTGGTTAGGTCCTGACGTTTTTGGTGACGCTTGTTTTTCTCAAAAATTAGTTTTAATGGTTAATAGTGAGAAGAATAACAAGATCCCTATGATTGCCCTTTGAAAACTTTCAATTTAACTTTTATTTAACTTTCAGTTTTTGATTAATTATAATTTCAGGTTATATTACTATATTATTCTTTATAAATAAAATAATTAAACTGTAAAAAGAAAATTTGTAGTTTATATAATTCATTAGAAAATATAATGAATTTAAATTATTAATAATGTGAAAATAATTTTAAATATGTAGCAATCAATTCGAAGATATTAAAAAATAAAAATGTCTTATTTAATGGTAAAATCTCCTTGAACTTTGAGAAATTATTTTGTATGATGTTTCTGTAATACAAAAATTATTTTATTAAACGTTAATATATTACCATATATTAACTATTTAAAATATTTTAATCCCAAAAATACAATTTTTTAAAAAAATTATTAATATACTCTGGCACATGATAACAAAACCATTTACTATTTTCGAGTTGTCAAAATCTGAGCAGAATAAATTTATATGTGAAATCACAAAAACAAACAGAAGAAGTTTTCCTGCCAAAAATTGATTTTAATTAATCATATTATTCTATTTGCTGCTCTTTTTTTAAGGCCTACCCTTATAATGTTATTTTTGTTCCTTAATAAATATATATGACAGTCATAATTTTATAAATAAAAAAGAGTATATATCAAAAAAACATTAAGGTGAGATTTTAAATATTTTCTTGACAAAAACAATAAAATATTTTGTTTATAATTTTCTCTTTTACAAATTATTGATCGAAAAATTAAGTAAAATAGTTTTTATGCAAAAATATGTAAACATTTAGATAGAAAAATATTTGTTCTTCTAAATCGTTGTTTAGAAACGTTGTGAACCTCACTAAAGTAATTTATTAATTATTAGACTAACTATTTGATTTCAGCACATGCACAAAATAACAATATTCCTGGTAGCACAATATAAAAATCTTAATTGTAAGTTTCGTGTTAAAATGATACTGGTCCAAATTTTCTACTATTTATAATAAATAATATAACCTTAAATTATCATTCAATAAAAAATCCGCATTTTTCCACATCAGAATCATACAAGTAATAGGGAAATATTACAAGGCCCTTACGATTTCCCTATTTAAGTTTCTCCTCGGGATACAATATTTGACTCTAATATTGTATAATTAAAATAAATTTAACCATAAAGTTAAATTAAATTATTAAATTATTATTTAATATATTTTTACTATTTTTTGACAAGAAAGATGAAAATTCTTATATATTCCCTGTAGTTACCTAAGTTTTCTGTGCGACGACCCTCGAATCAGCATACCGGTAACTATATTTTTAATAATTTATTGAATGTTTAAACAAATACAACATTTATTTTTACATAATTAAAAAGAATAAATTTAGACGAATCGAATGAACAAAACGGCATTTAAAAATTTTAATTAGGCTTTGCGGTACATATCAATGAAGTTTAAACAGTTTTTCGCGTTTTTCTCGAAATCTTTCATTCTGCAGTTACCTAAGTTTTTAGAAAATACAGCAGTAATATAACCTAACTTACCTACCAATTTGATAGACTGTATAACCAATTCAACCAGAAATCTCAACCATAAGTTTATGGTTGAAATTTCGATAGCATTTCTTTCCGTGTATTTATGTAATTACAACCTTAGAAAATGTTTCAAAATCACAGCAATTTTTAAGGTCATAATTATGATAGTAATTGCAATCATAAG